TCGAGAGTGAGTGCGTCCCTGGACTGGAAGCGTACAAAGTATAGACTGGGATCAAGTCGGGCGGTTGAGAGTCGTATGATTTGGCGTTGTACGGCATGAAGTATGTACTTGGATACGTATATGGTTTTCTCTTCAGATATCTGAATTTAGATATCTTCGCCAAAAGGCGGGTTTGCAGATTTTACGAAAAGTTGTGTCATCAAAATCCTCAACAGTCATCGACAACTTCATCGCCGTCTTTATAATCCATCGTCTCACCGTCTAAACTCTTCTCATATCTACCTTATCTACCCCATCCATAACACAAACACCCTCCCATTCCTTCCGTACATCCCCGGAAGAAAATGAATCAACAGTACAACCCTATAGGCGCAGTCAAAAACGAGAGTCAAAACGAAATGCTCTGTCACTCTGTACTCGACCTGTATCACTCGTGTGACTTGTGTAACATATACTCGAGCCGGCTGAATCCGGATGAAGTTTCTATATGCTGTGTTTAGATATATATTATGTATAAACTAATGTTTGAGGGTATATACGCAGCACGTATGAATAAATGAATGGATGTGGTAGTACCGTGGGGTGAGGTGATGAGGAGATGGCTTGCTTGGTGAGAGACGGGTGAAGAGATAAGATGATGTGATGAAGGCTCGAGCGTACTGTAACGTCTGGCTGAATGTTTGTGGATGGATAGGTGAATGATGAGGAATGTGTGCGTGAAGAGATGGATGACGATTATACTACAATATGTATGTAGTAAGTTCCAAAGTTGGTGAAAGTGAGATCATGATCAATGATCACTGATTAGACATCTTCAGCCAGGCTTGGGTATTGATAGCTTATTTTACAATGCTACAATATCACTATTCGATTTAATGAATGGAAAGGATTTTCTACAAGAGAGGAGAAACATATACAGTCTTGCTTCACACATCCAAAGTCCAGAAATATATACATAGCAAAATGAATACTAAACAAAACAAATCTCGAAAACTCATGGATAATCTATATGAACGATCCCTCACACTTATTAATGTACAACACTGTGTCCGCATAACATCTGATCACCACACTTCCCAAAGCTGCCACCACCCGTGCCGCGTTCTGGTGCTTCATTCCCAATCAAGTAACATCCAAGCCACTTTTACATCCCCAAATCCCAAAGTCTTTCCATTCTTGTCAATCCATTCACCAAATACTGATTTTATCGTCTAAAATACATAGCACCCAAGCCCAAAATCCTATATACAATAATAATTGCAATTAAAATACCTACCCATTCACCGGTCTTGCCGGTCTTGTATCCACTGTGATTAGTTAGTAAAATTCCAATGAAAATCTAGATTGTGAAGGAAGGAGAGAGACTTACTATTGATCTAAAACTCCTTTACCACTAATTTTACATTGAGGCGCGAGATCGGTGACGTACATGCATTGACAGGAAGTTCCGCAAGTATAGTCTCTTTCTGAAAATTCATTGACCATCATTCCTTGGAAAACGTACGTCTATTGGTATGCATTAGCATTACTGTTGTATCATGACCACGGGTGGTACAAAGTATCTCGCGAAGAGATTAGAGAAAAGAGAACATACCTGATAATCAATGTAATGAAATACATATCTCCAAAACACGTTAAGAATTTGTGGAGGTACCAAGAAACCACCGACGCTCATCCACAGTCCATTCGCAAAAGCAGTAAGAGCAAGGGATATGACAAATGAAGGGAATAGAGAGGACACAAGAACGACAAGTGATTCGGCAGCGAGAAGATCGAGAAACAACCACATTATCCATGTGAAGAAGGCAGGAGCTGTAGGTCGGAAATTGTTGAGAAAATATGTTGTTACCGAAAAGAGAAATGATATCAAAACTGATCATAATGTTAGTTGGGCGCCAGAAAACACAATTATAAACATACATAGATAAGGTAAGCCAATAATGAAGTTCGAGAGCATGAATGCTGTAGGACCATAAAGACCATTTGCTCGCTCCTTGATAAATGTAGAACGATCTTCGAGAAAAGATGGAACATAAGCGACAGCCATAAAAGACATGAAAGCTGAGCCAAAGAACTAAATTTCGTTAGTCATAAAAATATATCCCTAGAACAAGTAGAGTACTCACAATAGCATTAATGAAAGGTTGAATTTCACTTTGATCTGTTTTAAGACGTAACCAAACCGTACCCATCATAATAGCAAGCCCCATATACATCGCAATACGAATACCATATGCGACCACATCTCGGTAACTCTTGATGAATGCTCTGTGTACCAATGTCATCAATATATTGAAAAATCCACCACGCGAGGAATTGGCCACGGGTAAAGGCTTGACATGTTGCAATGTATGCTGAATTTTATCATGCATTTGTCGAAAAGCGGACGAAACCAACCAAGATTGATAAATTTGTAGTAGTCTTGCCTGTGACTGTGACTGATTGACTGCAAAGTCGGTATTCATAAGATCAAGGAGGTATTCCGAAGCATTCATGTGGAGTGGGATCGGATATCCTATAGATTGGAAATGTTGATTGACTTCTGAGACAGGACCAAAGTAATGCGATTTTCCTCCGGATAACAATAATAACTTATCGAATAATTGGAAAGTAGAGGTTGAAGGTTGATGAATGCTTGCTATGGCAATCAACTAAATAATCATGTCAATATAAATCCTTAATAATAGTGGCAATAACTAACATTGTTTTGTTTTGCAACCTCTTTAACAAAAGACATCACTTCCCAACTTGCAGCAGAATCCAACCCAGATGTAGGTTCATCCAAGAAAAGAATTTTCGGTCCAGTGATGAGCTGACTGGCAACACTAACTCGTCGTTTTTGACCACCACTAACACCTTTCTGAATTGGTGTTCCAATAATGGTATGTGCCTGATTACGAAGACCGAATGAATTGATCAAGCCTCTGATCCGTCTCATTCGCTCACTTTTCGTCAATGAACTAGAGAAGAGTTAGTTCGTAGAATTATAAACCAAAAGCTAACGATCGTACCTTTTATGAGCAAGACGAGCCGCGAAATTCAATGTTTCTTGTACTGTCAAAGAGCCTATGAGAGCATCCTCTTGTTCAACATATGAACTCATATCTCGAAAAACACTTTTAGACGGACTTGATCCATTGACCAGTGTCTTTCCCGTTACAATCGCTTTCGCAGCTGCATTTCTATGAGCCAAAACATTCAACAGAGTAGTTTTTCCACAACCACTTGGTCCCATCAAAGCACATATCTCTCCTACAAATATATTAGTAATCTACCATTTCTCTGAGCTAACCACTCCAAATAGAACCACTGACCAGCTTCAACAACACCACTAACATCATCTAGAATTGCTTTTGATTCTTTTGTTTTATTGTCCTTCACAGTAACCGTCACATCCTTCCATGTAAAATTTCGAACGGTAGTATTGTTTAAATGAGTATCATCAACGGCCGATAATTCAACATCAGTCATGAATTGAGTACGATGTTCCATATCATAATCTTGCTCCGCCTTTCCCGAAGCCTGTGAAAGTGTGCTGCTGGTCGTGTCTGTCATAGTGTGATTCGACTCGAGCTCGAATTTGTCAAGGTGCCTGTGAAGAGGTATCCCGATTCCGAGTGATTCACAATTCTGGATCGTTGAATTCTGAAGTCCCCAAACCCTGGTTGAATGATCGTTCCGAGTCTTGATGAAAGTTGGTTCTTCGAAATCTTGTCGATCTTGGAATGTTGGTAGTCGAGGGGAATCGAATGGAGAAGTAAAAGGATTCGTATCTCGGAATTGATTATTAAATTGACTCAGAGGAATATTTGAAACTATGTTGTGAGACTTCGATTTTTGCCAATGAGTTTGATTTGACCCTGTGTTTGAAGGACATTGAGACCTTTTTCCAACGTAGGGTGCACAGCTTTTATATTCCATATTTACCTTCCGATACTACACAATCAATTGTGTGTAACACAAAACTTAAAATTCCAAACTTAGCTAGGTATTATTCAGCCTGTCTGACAACATAAGCCAAAGCATTCCAGCTCTGACACGGTGATACCGTACGATATCGCAACACAAGGAAACGTCCGAAATACGAAGCGACCGTAGTATAAGACTTACTATGGAGAATTCGCCGATCGGAGAATACAAACCTTATAGTATATTAAGAGTTATATATGAAGTCAGGCAACAGTTATATTCCAACATTAATCTGCAGGTCCCCGATTCCTGCGGGAACAATGTAAGCGCGAAGCATTTGGTGGGGCAATTGAGTACCACTCGAGCCACCGAATACTTTCTTGGGAATTGGGGATTGAAGAATTGGTAAAGGTGGGGTAAAAATAACGATCGTGCATTTATACCAAGCCGCCTTACTGGCTGGCTCCAATCTTCAACTTGCTAAGGCTTAGCGAGGTCCCCGAGAAGAGCTAGTAGATAGGTAAGCGTAGTAAGCTACTACCATACCATTGACTTCCAAAGATACTTCGCCGACATGGCATTCTATAGAGCTTTGACGTAAGTAATAAGTCGGAAAAATAAGGTATAGATACATACAAGGACAATGATATACTAAAAGATAACCACGTGAACCCATGAGAATGTTAGAAAGGTCCCCTAAATCAATCATTTGATTCCGGTCAAGGTGATTTTGGACGAAAATTTATCAAAGCCGTCGGATCATTTGGCTCCGTTTCCTTTTTCGTTACTTACCATTCTCATTCTTCATGGCGGCTAAAATCGTTATCGATGTTTCGTAGTGATGTGAGAATCCTAAGACTGGGGTGCATATTATAAAAATTCCATGCAACCACAACGCTCATTGTACCAGCCGTTGAGAATACAGTATGCAATGTCGCCGACCAAATCAAGGTACCTTGGCTTTGTTAATTATACCGGCTGTGGGATAAACGGATGCAGTGTCGCCGACCGGAGCAGATGATCTTGACTCACTCAACGGCGGAAAACGGTGGAAAAATGACTTTATGGAGATGGGAATCAAAAGTCAACAATTAGTACAGCAAAACTGACTCTTTCGTCCATGTAATTTCTAGAATTCCGACTTTCCAGTCCACAACAATTTCCATACCCGGGATTTTAAATCCCCCTTTGACCAATTTTTGAAAAGTCCCTTGTGGATCATACTTCCTACTCAGGGTTCTCATCTTCTCCATATTCCCCTCACCATATCCCGCCAATGGATTTTGCTTTTGGCCTGCATAATTAAGATAGATAAAAGGATTTGTAACTCCAAGAGTCCCCGCCACCGCATTGATTTCATCGACCGTAGCATAAGCTGCATCAGTGAACTTTTGATCATCCGAAGCTTTAAGCCAAGTCACATAGACCAAAAAGAGCGTCAAATTTTCTTTGTTCCGATCCACACCCATAATATTTCCACCAGTTGCTATCGAGCGTTCGCTGACGATCAGTGGAATAGGCTGAAAGAGAATAGACCACACAAGACCCGTAGTGTTTTTGAAAGGTTCCAAATGCTTGTTTGAGATATTCACAGCTGTTTCGTACATTCCCGCACTATTCGAAAAGGTCGTAGTGACGAAGATGTACCTAGAATTTAAAGTCGAGGTACCACCAGCAAGCTCATCAGTCAATGAACTCACATTCGTAATTCGCATTGTGCTAGATATTAAATTCGGAATTGCCAATGCATCGGAGTAAATAGCTGGAGCTTCAACTGGTGCGACATAATCAATAACATTAAGGATACTTTGCGAACCAGAAACTTGTCAATAGGACCATATATTGAGAAAATTGGCTTTTGGATCATCCGATATATGATTGGTGAAATTGGTGAAAAGATTGATTTGGGCTTTGGCCGTGCTGGCTGGATAGGTCATGATTCCTCCCCATAACCTTTCAAAAGGGAATGACTCCAGGTCATAGCGAGTTACGATACCGAAATTATTACCTCCTCCTTTCAATCCGACGAAAAGATCTACATTCGAAGTGGCATTCACATTGATAATTGAACCGTTACCAACCACAAGCTCGAAATTGATAACAGTATCCGCCACGAAACCTTTTTGGGGCGCAAACCATGAATAACCACCTACAATCAAATCCATGTAAGTTATCTCCACAGTTTATACTTTGCTCTGAAGGCAACTTACCTCCAACAACTAACCCGCCGATTCCAACCAGAGATGCTCTACCACCAGAGACCATCATACCCTTAGTTTCCAGATACTCATAAATTTGTCCCCACTTCAATCCTGCGCCAACATGTGCGATTCCGACATTTTTATCCACCGATATAGTATTGAGTTTAGCCAGATCAATGGTGACTACATCATTGATTGATGCCGCTCCAGCAAATGGTGTATGACCGCCTCCTTTCACTGAGAATTGACACTGCCATCGAGTAAGAGTTCTCACCACTGCAGCCACATGTTCTCTACTAGTTGGTTGTAGAACACAAGTTGGTTTATCATCGCGTGCTTGGCCAGACCAAAAGCCGTAAATGGTGGCATTATAAGCTTTACTATTCGGTGCAGCTGTGATATTGGATTTCAATATAGAACACTGAGATCATCCAGTCAATTCTACAGCCGAAATAATTGATGGATTCTAACTTACACATTCACTTGAAGAAGCTGCTCTTGTGAAACCCAAGGTTACTATAATTAACGCAGCTCGTAGAAGCAACATTTTTCGAAAGACGACTGTTATGAGAGACAAAGATTGGGGAATGTTGTTAAGAACACCAATATAATACTCCATATGCACTGGCATGTGTCATCCTTAACATACCCAATTTTGTATCAAAGATTTTCGTGTCATTTATCCGGTAGCAAATGGGTGAGTGTATTTTGAAGCTGCCCCTCATCAGCAGTGGAACTCAACTACCCCATTAGGTTGGTTGCTTGTGCATCCTTTTTCTGAAGCCCGGCCAGCTCATATATCATATTCAAACTCTTGAACATTATTCATCCTTGAGAAAATAAGCTGAACATCACGGCAACTATACTGTGACGATCATAGATAAGTATTCACTAGCAGTTCACCTTCTCAAAATCGAATCGAAATCACAACTCCGTAGTCTGATCACGACATTCCCGCTAATACTAATAAGGCAGACGTGACCGGCAGAATTTGATAATTGTGAATGGCGCCACATACACCGCCCACGTGCCAAAATTGCATAATCCACGTTTTGTTGCACATCTGAATTGAGTCGTTGTAAAAATTTACACTTCAGCTCAGGCCGTTCTTCAGGAATGCTACCAAAGCTCACCGGGGGGTTTAACGGAGGTCAAATTGTGTTCTAGACCGTCACCAAAATTGGTACAAGCACATATGACTATCATCTTTCAATATCAGTGAAACGTTGAGAGGGTTATTCGTAGTTTAATCCATGTATTGCAATCTCTATCTAAGCCTCGAGCAATCCCCTTCCTCAGACCATCCTCGGTCTTGATGTGCCACCGACACTTACATGATCTTTTGCATCAATAAAACTCGCCTTTAGGGTTAACAACTCGAGATATCCATATACAAACATCAGTTTCCAACACGGCTACTGTTACGTCTCACATATCTTGACCTTATCGAAGTAGTTTCCTCCCCAAAGCGGACCGATAACTAAATCTGTATGCGCGTTGCTATGCTCTTGTATGTTGAAGAACACAGGTAAGTAGGTCATTGCAAGATGATTAGGAAGCTCATGGAAAGAACCATAGTCATTTCATTAACAAAAAACCGTTCAATCTGTAAGGAATGACGTTGTTCATGATACTCATGAGCTTAGCATATCTTCCAACTGATGAAAAGAGAAGGTAAAACACGAAGAGGAACTGGTATCCTGCGATATACAAGTGTTATACCGGCAGTAATATAACAAGTTCATGATATTATGATAAGAGGGTTAGAAAAAGGAAGGAGTAGATCGACAATTCGAGCCATCGAGAGGAAAGTAATGTTGTTTTCATCAAAGGGGATAAGAGTAAAAGATCGACCGGCATAGCATCATCCCCATGTCAGGCAATATCTTCAATGAAACTGTATACTGTACCTTCATCCGAGCTAACGCTTTCTCCACAATCAACATAGCTACATCGAATCCTTCGGCTTGATGAATGAGTAGCATGTGATCATGGCTGTAGCATGTATGACGACCGGTTGCCGATTCCAAGCACCCAATCCTAACTCGGGTTCCCGTCCGCAGAATCCTAGCTGCCATGTGTCAACGATCCATCCTACACATTCCACTCCTTCCTCGTTCTGTCAATTCCTTCAGATCAGGTAGGAAAAGAGCCGCGTCGAAAAGATAAGATAGCAATGTCTTTATCTGAAATTGATAGAAACCCCGGTTGTGCTTTATTCTGCCTGCATGTGCATATTCTCGCAGAATCCAGATTATGCAATACAACATTGAAATTCCCATCATCGTCAGAGGTGTTTGGAATTGCATATAATCAGTCCTTTTGACAAACAATCATGAAGGATCATACAATTCTTTATGCTACCCCTCCACACCTAAGAAGTCCTGCTGCTTTTATCAAGCAAGTTGGACCCTAGCATGTTGTGGAATGCCGCATTTACAATAACAAGGGAACAGCTATGTCTTTGGGGACAAGTCGGACCTGCTAGCTTCTTGAAGTAATATCGAAGCTATTCGCAACAGAAGCACTGCAAATATCACATGTCCCTGTTAGTCAGTCTCGGACCTTGGTACGTTCTAGCTACCCAGTAGTAAGTCTAGAGCTTTCTGACAACTACGATACAGGTTACAGACTTTCAAACTTCACCAGCGATATCGCAAGGAATCCACTTGGTTCATCCCTTCCATGCTTTATAAAATAATTCAATAAACACAGGAAAAGGAATTTTATGCTGCAACAAATGTAGATAATATTAAAACCACATACAAGTAAACCAAGCCATAAAAACACAATAAAACAATAAGCCTCATTCAAACATTCATGCATAAATCTCCCTCTTCTCCCAACAAAAAACAACTCGCAAGAGTTTCAAAGACGCTCAGACCATTCCCCAAATTCGCACTAGTAAAGACTTGACTCTAATGCTTACCTAATCCACATGTTGCCCTGCCAAACCGTTCGAGCACCACCGTCATAATCCAAATTATCTACGAAGCATCAATATAGATTCAAAATATACGATACCATCAACATCACTCCATCTCCACATATACCCATACTCATATCTATACGACTAGCTCACCATCTAAACCGTAAAAGCATCATCCAAACCAACCACCAAAACAACAATCATGCCCACCACCCGTCGCAGCAGCGGCCCCGCCCAAAAAGGCACTCAAAAAACCCTCTCCTTCACCAACACCTCCAAGATCTCCAAAGCGGCCAGCACCCCCACCACACTCAAAACCAAATCTTCCATCACCAAGCTCCCAGACCTCACCGAGCTCACCAAGGGCCTCTCCCCATCCCCCTCCCCCGCATCCCCAGACCTCAAGCCCACCACCCTCCCAACCACCTCTCCTAAACCAACCTCCCAACCCAAACCCAAAGCCCAAACCGCCCATCAAACCCTCCAAACCACCCTCGCATCTCAAATCTCCGACGCCAAGATCCGCAAATACTGGAAAGCGCGCGAGGATCTGCGTTTAGCGCCTCGAGTACATCAGAAAGATTTAGAAATCAGTGAGAAGATATTGAGGGAATGGGATTGTATGAGTCAATTTGGTGTATGTATCATTCTTCTCCCCCCCCCTCCCCCAGAAAACAATCACAGCAACTAACAACCTCACCCCTCAGCCCGCCATCGGCATCTCCCGCACCAAACGCTGGCACCGCGCCTCCAGACTCGGTTTAAACCCACCCCTCGAAGTCCTCGCTGTTCTCGTCAAAGAAGAAGAAAAGAAGAACAAAGCAGTAGAAAGAGCGTATGTGGATGAATTGATGGGGGCGAAAGGAATCATCGGAGGGGATGCAGTGTAATTGAAATTATGAGATCTAGAGTTCTTTTAGGAGAGATTGAGATGAGAATCGAGGAATTGGAAAGGCAGGGACGAATTGCCTAGAAGAGAGAGAGAGAGACCTCTAATCTGAGAGATGGGAAAGAAGAAATTACGGAAACTGGAGTGTACGATATAGCACGATATGCTACGATATGGGAGGATCCTTAAAATAGGACATACACGAACTGGAATGAATGGATATATGCGCATGGGATATGGTCAGGCGTTAGGGATTCCCTTACTTCTTATTTTACAACAAAGCGGATTTGAGCTCATATGTATTGATAATATCAGGATGAAATATGAGCTACGGATATTGAACATGAACAGGATATCAAATAAAATACCTACTTCTCTGTGATCACAGCTTGGACTTTGTGTTGACTTTTCTATCTTGGCATAACCACAAGAAATAAGATTTTCGTTTAACTTTACTACAACATGAGAGAATTCATACAAAAACTCTAAAACTCCTCATTGATTCATCATTTTAATTTCATTTCCATTAAAAAATTCTTGCTCTATAGCAATTCTTCATCTACTACATGATTGATCTTAAAAACTCCATTCATCCAGCATGTTTTGGATCAGAAAAAAATAAGTATTCCTTGTAAGAAGTAGGAAGCATGCTCTATAACTTCCACCCTTCGAATTCATCCGCGTTTACAAAATTTGTCTCCTGGTTAACCTCAACCTTACATCTGAACCTCAACACGACCCTCAGAACCAGGGGCACCTGATGACAAAGATGGCAAAAGGTATGTAATATCATCCCAAGGATGTCTGTAAAGACCAGTGCGCAATCTCTTTTGATCAAGGTAATGAGCAATTAAACCAATAGAACGTCCAAGAACGAAGAGACCGTTCAAGACACCCATCTTCATGTAATCTTCAGCCTCCTCTGCACTGAATGCACCACAGTTGCGCATTAAATCAACGAAGCAGACGGCAACAGCACCATCAACGTTCAAGATCAAGTTATCTTTCTTGGAGGTGGTGACAGACTCAACAGCCAAAGCATAGTCGAGCATCTTGCAACTTGGGAAACGCTTCTTGACAAACTCCTTGACGAGCTCGACACGGAGATCTGGGTTGTTTCTTGACTTGACCTTGTGTCCGATACCTGGGATGAGTCTGTTTTGCTTTCTCATGGTATCGACGAAATCACGTGGGGAAAGACCCTTGTCGAAAGCTTTGGTGAACTCCTCAGCGGCACCATCGAGAGCACCACCGAATCTAGATCCGATAGTCAAAAGACCAGAAACGAGAGCAGAGATAAGATCCTTTCCTGCTCTGGTAGTAATAATGGTGTTCATGGCACCAGAAACAGCTGGACCGTGATCGGCAGTGAGCATAAGAACCATTTCGAGGAACTTGCTTGCGTAATCTGGGAGACGACGACGGAACCACAAAAGAGACATGACACCACCAATTCCGATATCCTCCTTGAAGACATCAGAAATTGGCATACCAGCATACAAAAGTTCTTGTCCACGATCATCAGAAATGGTAGAGATGAATGCAGCAGGTTTTCGGATAAGACCAAGTTCTTGAGCCCATGAGTAATCAATTGGGATCTTTGGTACAATTGGCTCAGGTTGTGGAACAATGGTTCCAGCTGCAACAAGCTTCTCGTACACAGAAGCGAGAACAGCTGGCAAATCCTCGAAGGTATCTGGAACGTGGAAACCAGCCTCCTTCATGGACTTGTTCTTGGTAGCAGCGGTCTCGAGTTGAGAGTTGGCAAATGAACCAGCGTGTCCGAATTGGACCTCAGTCTTGAACATGCTTGCGCAAGTACCAATAGCCCATGCGACAATTGGCTTTGTGATAGTTCCGTTCTTAACGGCCTCAATAACTCTGTATTCCTCAACACCACCAACTTCTCCTAACAAAACCAAAATCTTACATTCTGGGTCGGCTTGATATCTGAGGAGATGGTCGATAAAGGTTGTGCTTGGGTATCTGTCACCACCAATAGCAACACCCTCGTAAACACCATCGGTTGTGTTGGCAATAATGTTGTTGAGCTCGTTGGACATACCACCAGATTTGGAAACGTAACCAACGGAACCCTTTCTGTAAAGCTTGGATGCAACAATGTTGTCCATCATACCACCAGTGTTACCAATCTTGAAGGATCCTGGCTTGATACCACCGACAGTAGCTGGACCGATGATTGTAACACCCTTCTTTGCAGCTGCGTGAAGAATTTCACGGGCACGCTAAATAATTCATGAGCACAGGATCAGAGGAATTCGAGGGAGAAAACTTACTCTCTCAGGTACACCCTCAGCAATGATGGCAATTGACTTAATTTGTGGGTATTGCAAAAGTTCCATGGTAGATTGGTAAACACTACGCGATGAAGCAAAGTTGACAACGGTATCAACATCCTCGTGCTTAGCCATGGCCTTTTCAACATCTTGGTAAACTGGGAGCAAAGTTTCACTGGTACCCCAGTACATCTTGCTAACGAATTGACCACCGAATGTATAAATGATACCTGCAACCGAAGGAGTCTTTCTCTTGCAGATGAAGTCGAAATCGAGCATGCCTTGAACAGCTCTTGGTTGCAGACCGTAAACGAAACATCTTGTCTTGTCGTGGAAAAGGGTGTGTTCAGCTCTTGGGCTCAAAGGTCTGGAAGGAGCAGCGAATCTGCGAATGTTGTCGTTGGCATTGCCTTGGGCACCGGATGCTGTAGCGGAAGGCATGGTGAAAAGAGGAAGTAATCAACAAAAATCTGAATGTGCGGAAGAGTAAATTGTTAGTCAATTGAAGAAAACTTCTGTACGGCCCAAAAAGGAAATGGTGATTATGATGGAGTGGTGTTTGGGCTGAACGGAGGAGAGAATGAATAAGTTTGGGGAAGTCCGTATACGGAGGAAGAAGGAGACAAGAAGACAAGAAAAGAGGGTAGAATATGAGCTTACCTAGGTAGAGACTCGAGAGATTCAAGGAATCTTTTCTTCTACCGACTTTAATCTTCGACGGTGTGGAATTCTCAAAAGAATCAAGAGAATAGAGAAAGGGAAATCCGTACGTAAACAAAAACGTAAAGAAATCTAGCAATTTCGTTATTCTAAATGTAATGAGAAGGAGTAGAATGAAGTGTTTTCTTTTAGAAACAAGACAAACAACTTGAATACTTTTCAGAGTACTTTTTTTGATGTATGAAGAGGAAGAAGAAGAAGAGGAAGAGGAGGGTATTTTGAGATTGAATGGAAGGGTGACAACTTACCAGAAGAGATTGGGGGGGGGAGGTTGGATTGTAATAGAATAATCGAGAGAGAGAGACACAACAAGTGAGTCCTTTTTCTTCCAAACAAGTCCTTTAGAAATCTTTCGTTGACAACTGAATTGAGGGCCGATATTTGGAGTGAGGATTGGTTGAAGTTCTTAGCTGGATACCTAAAAGGAATAGAGGGGAGTGGAAAATAAATGAGCTCGGACCGGAGTGTGTGATATGCGTCAAGAGTTACGACGGCATGGAGTTAAAGTGGCAATGGATTTTTGGACATCAGGGCTCGAGCAGGGCATCAAGGTTTGGCCTTCTAGCGTATTCGACCGTTTCCCCTCTAAGCCCTTTTGAGCCATGTCCCTTGATGAAGTATGTCGGCGTTGAGTAAATTCCGATGGTTGAGAGCCAATAAGAGTGGAATCCTGGTTGAGCTAGCGTCCCAACGACGACCAACGACCACCACAAATCATGAGGACCCCACATTTTTGAATTGGATAGTCTCGAGATAGTTGAACATGCTCGCCATAATGCTAGTTTCCATAGTTTCCATAGTTTCCTAGTTTCCTAGTTTCCTAGTGTCCTAGTTTCCTAGTGTCCTAGTTTCCATAGCTCGAGCATGGCTTGCTTCCCTTAGTCAGTCTCTCAGTCTCTCCAGAGTGGCTTAGTGGCCATATCGCAGGAGGAATGTCACACCCTTTGGGTCCATCAACATACCAATCACATCGAGGAATCTATAGCTAGCCCGATAAATCACCCGAAAACACACGCCATCTTGCCGGACCCGCTTCCATTCAAGGGACCTCGTCTGGAACCACCCACCACCACCGCCCACTGCCACCACACCACACTTATTACCTAGCATCCCACGCTTAGGAAGAAGTACACAATGAAAAAAGCAGCCAGCACTGGTACAACAAACCAGTCCAGAGAATTAATAAATTTAGTAAAATAAAATAAAATTAAATGAAATAAAACAAAATAAAAAATTCACTTACTTCTTAAATCTAAATCTGGCCGATCTCCGTAGTCGCTGCTCTTACTCAATTCCAATATTCATTCAGCTGTTCCTTTCCAACCCACCCCTCCCCTCCCTCCTCATAGAATTTCTATTTCATTCTCCAAAAAGAATTAAGAATCTCCGATTCATTTGAACCATCTTCCCCTCCGCAAAACAGCAAAGGAAACTTGAGAAAGTTAGAATATAGATTCCATCTTTCCATTTTAATTTCACTTCCCTCTTTTCGAACAGAATTGAAATCTTGGTGGTTTCAATTATTCGACCATTTTTCTTGCGTTCCATTGAAAGAATACCCCTTTGGTGCGTATATTCTTACTTTCCCCCCCCTCCTGTGTTTACTTTTCATTTCGGAGCGGCTTCATATCGCAATTATCTCGCTCTCCTTCGGTGTCCGAGTTAAAGGACGGGACTATTGAACTCTCTCACACCGACACGACTCATCAAGCTGAAAGTCTGTTGTTTAAGTTTTGTGAGTTGGCACGATCTGCATGGTGTTGAGATTTTCGACCGTCCAGCCCTCCAATTGAGTTCGGGAATTTGTGCTTGACCATTTGAGGATTCGGGGCTTACAGCTGTCGAGGCTTGTAAAGCAACAATCTGCAGCTTTTGAAAATCTTGAACTTTCCTATCAATCTCATGTCAATAGAAATTCCCAGGACCCTTTTATGCTAATCTGGAATTTCAACAGTAAACTCATCAATTTTCATACCTCAAAATGTCTGCCAAAGCTATCACCGAGGCCGACGGAAAGGCTATCCTCAACTATCACCTCACCAGAGCTCCCGTCATCAAGCCATCTCCTCTCCCAAAATCTGCCACTCACAACCCTCCCTCGAAGCTTGCTTCTTTATATTTCCCAGTCGACGCTGAGGTCTCATCAATCCTCGATCAAGCAGAAACCTTATACCCATGGCTCCTTGTTCCAGGTTCCAAATTCGTCGCAAAGCCTGATCAGTTGATTAAGAGAAGAGGCAAGAGTGGTCTTCTTGCATTGAACAAGACATGGCCAGAAGCAAAGGCATGGATTGCTGAGAGAGCAGGAAAGCCAGTCACAGTTGAAACTACTGTGGGAACTCTCCGTCAATTTTTGGTAGAGCCATTCGTACCACATCCAGACGGAACCGAATATTATATCAACATCAACTCCCAAAGAGAGGTATGTACTATCTTCACATTTCCACTTTTGAAGGGGAAATTTCGTCAGAGGGAGTTTGCAGCAAATCTTGTTTTGGAACAACGAATCAAACGATATTTAAGTAAATATCGAAAAGTAAGATTTTGAGTATAAAAGATTTCGATATTCCAACGTTGGCAGTGGGATTCATCAGTTCTTTATTGCTTCTCATTACCAATGGATGCTTCGGAAGCACAAACGGACGAAAGGAAGCTAAGGAACCGATTCCAACCTCCCCCTGGTCCATAACTCTCCCTATCAATTTTTAATAGCAAGCGAGTTCAAGTCCGGCAGATTTTTCGGAAGGCTCGCCGCCTCTTGTTATTTATGCTACTTTCACTCGCACAATTTTCATAGAGTTTCATAGCATTATGTACATGCTCACCATTTAAATCCACGTGCTAACAAATTTCCTCTTTAGGGTGATTGGATTCTTTTCACACACGAGGGAGGTGTCGATGTTGGTGATGTCGATGCAAAGGCCGAAAAATTGTTGATTCCAGTCGATCTTGCCGAATACCCTTCAAATGAAGAAATCGCTGCAGGACTTCTCAAGAAAGTTCCACAAGGTGTACACAATGTTCTTGTCGACTTCATCACCAGATTATATGCTGTTTACGTCGACTGTCAATTCACATACCTTGAGATTAACCCATTGGTCGTCATTCCTAACGCTGAAGGTACCTCTGCTGAAGTACACTTCTTGGATTTGGCTGCTAAGATTGATCAAACTGCCGAGTTTGAGTGTGGTGTCAAATGGGCTATTGCACGCTCGCCTGCTGCTCTCGGTATGGCCGCTGTTAAGGCAGCTGATGGAAAGGTTAACATTGATGCTGGTCCACCAATGGAGTTCCCAGCTCCATTCGGTCGTGAATTGACCAAGGAGGAAGCATACATTGCTGAACTTGATGCCAAGACTGGTGCATCCCTCAAGCTCACAATTTTGAATGCCAACGGTAGAGTTTGGACTTTGGTTGCCGGTGGTGGTGCTTCCGTCGTTTATGCCGATGCTATCGCCAGTTCTGGATTTGCTGATGAGCTTGCCAATTATGGTGAATACTCTGGTGCACCAACCGAAACCCAAACTTTCCACTACGCTCGTACTGTCCTTGACCTCATGCTTCGTTCACCAATTACTCCAGAAGGCAAGGTTCTTTTCATTGGTGGTGGTATTGCCAACTTCACCAATGTCGCTTCAACATTCAAGGGTGTTATTCGCGCCATTAGAGAAGTCAGCAACTTATTGATCGAGCACAAGGTTCAAATCTGGGTTAGACGTGCTGGACCTAACTACCAAGAAGGATTAAAGAACATCAAGGCAGTTGGACAAGAATTGAAGCTTGATATGCACGTTTATGGACCAGATATGCATGTTAGTGGTATTGTTCCTTTGGCTTTGGTTCCAGGACGTCTTGCAGAGAGTAAGATTAAGGAATTCACTGGTTAAATTTGGGAAGAGATGAGACATGAACATTTTTGACATTCTTCTTCGAGGGCATTTTTGTTTGGCTATTCCAAGCAAAGGTAGCACAATGGCGTACAAAGCTTGCTTAAGAAATTAACAAATAGATACTCGTAATTGTGACCATTTTTCTAGTCTTAATGATGTGACTGTGATTTGTGATGAATGGTGCAGTGATAATAGTCTTGTTTGTGTCTTACTCGAATAAATTATAGATACGAAACTAAATATGTATAGGTGATCATAGATGAGTATAATTTCTCATGAGATTTTGAAACGAATACGCTTCAATCATCAATATCGTAGTTCCATGTTGCTTTACCAAAGCACTAATAAGAGCGAGCTAGGAACAAGCTCTGGCACGTGATGTGCATCATTCAATTTCTACCTGTACCTCTTGCTTGCATCTTTTCTTTCTTTCTTTCGAAAATTCAACACGCAATCAATTTCGATCCGTTGAAGTTGAAGTTGAACACCCGGTCCGGATTTTTATGGGAATTGTTTTTCTGGTTTAGCTGGGGTTTCTGGTTTAGCTGGATAGCTCGATATTCGTGAATATTTTGGGGTTTGGAGAAGGATTGGTAGGATTGGATTGGTAGGATAGAAGTGGATAGGAGTGGATTGATTGTGATTGACTGATTGACTGGTTGGTTGATTGATTGATTGGTTGATTGGGCTTTTGTTTTGATACATGAGGATCGAGTGAGGATCGAGTGAGGATTGAGAACTTTGAGGTTTGGGTGCGGGTGTGAATGTGAATGTGAACATGGGAATGGGATTGAATTCGAGAATGGGGATAGCGAAGAATGCTCTCGGGAAGTTTGTGGGAGTGGGAATGGGAAAGATGAGAGGATATGGATGTGGGTCTGGGAGAACAAAGAGGATGGGTGGTGAGATGAAGATGAAGATGTCGTTGGAATTGGAATCGATGGTTTCTCCTTCTGCTAGGCTTTTTGGGAGATCGAGAGGATTCTGCTCTTCTTCATCTTCTTCATATGCTTCGTCGTCTACTTCATCACCATCGCCAACCTCGACCGAAGAGAAACCAGGAGAAAAATCAAACACAAACACAAACCTTCCTTTTACGAACAAAACGATATTGGTAACCGGTGCGACCCGCGGGATTGGCAAAGCGATTGCGCAAAAGTTTGGAGAGTTGGGGGGAAGGTTGGTATTGGTGGGAAGAAATCGGGAGGGCTTGGAGGGGGTGGGGAGGGAGTTGATGAAGGGAAGAGGGGGGAAGGGAGAGGGAGGAGGAGAAGGGGATTGGATCGTTGTTTGTGGAGATGTGGGGGAGAGGGAGTTTTGGGAGGGGGAATTTGGAAGGGGAAAAAAGAGAGTGGGTGAGGAAAAAGGGGTGAGTTTGAGTTTCTATTTTTGACTTTGGCTTTGGCTTTGGCTTTGGCTTTTTGATTGTTTTGGGGGATTCGTGTTGCTGTTGTGCTGTGGTTTCTAGAGGTGCAGATTGAGGGGAAGTGGAGAGAAGAGATGTGAAAACGGTGATGTATGGCTAGCATGGAGAGATACTAGTGAGGATAGTTCCTTTCTATTATTTCCTCTGCGCCTCTGAAGCTTTTGGAGTTAAACCCTTCTAAAGCCATTAATCTCAACATCTCCTCATTTCACCTTATCCATTTTCGCTCCATCGCTATTCTCACTCCTACCCCATTCTGTTCCCCCTCACCAGCAATTACACTGTTTTCCCTATCTTTCCCTTTCCCAATTCACAATCTCCTATCACCCATTCCCAACCCCCTTTCCTCCTAACCCCCACCCTCCCACAACCACCCAACTAACATCCCCCCCTCCCTCAGAACCCCAACCCCAAACCCAAAATCGACATCCTCATCAACGCCGCCGGTCTAACCCACGCCTCCCCTCTCATAACCACCTCCCCTTCCCTCATCGAAAACATCCTCCAAACAAATTTAATGGGTACAATCTGGGGATGTAAAATCATCGGAAAAGAGATGTTGAGACGGAGAGAGGGTATGTTTTTTTTCTTCCCTTTCCTTCTTCCTTCCTTTCCTAATCCCTCTTCCCTTTCCCCCCATCCTTACACAAACTCACAAAGAAAAAAAATTCCACACAACATCAATTATCTCCCCCCACCAAAAAGTACAGAAATCAACCCAACTAACCAAACGAAAAACCAGGTTGTATTATAAACGTCTCCTCGCTCCTCGGTATCAAAGGCGGAAGAGGTAGTGCCGCGTATGCAGCTAGTAAAGCGGGGGTTCTTGGTATGTTTCCCCCCTTTTCCCTTCCCTGCACATGTTCATTCCCCTCTCCCCTCTCCCCTCTCCCATTTCCCCTCTCTCCTCAATCGTCTTCTCGACCCCCCTTCCCATCTATACCCTATCCACCCCCTCCTCCAAACCCCCAACTAACCAACCCCCCACCAAAAGGTCTCACTCGCGCCCTAGCCGCCGAAATGGGTTCTGCAGGAATCCGAGTCAACGCCATTGTACCCGGCTATATCGAGACGGATATGACGAGGGGTATGTTTATATTTATTTTATTTCATTTTTATTTTGGGGGATTTTTTTTTACCTCTTCCCTTCTTCCTCCTCCCCTCCTTTCTTTTTCTCCTTGTGCTCTCCCTCTCACTTTTATTCTCACTCTCACTCTCACTACCCCTCTCGCAATCACATGTTCCTATTCACATCCTCTCTTCCTACCTCTCTTTCACTATCTTCCATCTTCCACATCACCTCACAAACTCCCATATCAAAATAAACCACCTTCATTTTTATTCCATTAATTATGTTATATTGTTCATGCCCCCGCTATGCTATTCTGTATTCTGGTATTCTATTCATGAACTCCTTTCCCTCCCCCGTTCCGTTTCATGTCCACATTCATCTAAATTTGCTATTTGCCACCCCCCAAATGATTTTTATCTTCACCATATCCACCCTTGATTTTTTTCAATCCTTTCAAAAACCTCATATTTCACCAATTCATTTCTCGCTTCCCACCTCCAAATCTCAAATAAAATCGCATCCCCCTTTCCTACCTCTCCAAACCTAATGTACACAAGATCATCTTACATTTTCCATTTCGCATCTTAAACTCAAAATCGCAATCAAAAAATCAAAGAAAATGAACTAACAATCTCCTTCAAAGCAATGTCAGATCCCGCCCGCTCAGAAGCATTAAACTCCATTCCTCTATCACGTTTTGGAGATGTAGCCGAAATAGCCGATGCCGCCGTCTTTTTAGCAACCAATAAGTACGCAAACAATTGTGTGCTTAATATTGATGGAGGATTGAGCGCCGTATGATTTCTTCCATATAGGAGGGATGCAAAACATCTGTTGAGTCGAGGTTTGGGTGGGAGGGTGTATTCGAGGAGGGACGCCGTTCGAGTATTGGTGATAAAAACTGGATAGGTCATGATGGGATAGTGCAAATGCATAAAAGATAGATAGATCAAAATGCAAATAAGCATCTAATCATCATCAATTAAAATAGCTCCATCATTCACATCATCCAATACAATAATACCATCATTCAAAGTATCCATGGACAAATTGGTTGAACCGGGTGGTTCCATCTTGGAACGCTTCGAAGTTGGGGAAGGATCATGTTCCAATGCATCGGATGCAGGTCTCTTTTTGATACCATTGGAATTACCATTTTGAAGAACTTCTGCGGTGAGAGATTTTGCATGTCCATTTGTTGGTTCTTTGGATTCAGGTTCTGGAATAGGTTTCTTACGACGTGGAATTGGTGATTCAGGGGATGTAGCGGTAGATTCTTCGGAGATAATAGGAACGGTAGGGATGGAGGAGTTGACGTTGATATCGAGACTTTTGATGGGAGAATCTTCCATTGCGGTGTCACTATTATAAATGTTAAAATATGAAGAATAGGAAGAGAAAAAACATGAAATGTCTAGAAGACTTACGATTCTTGTACATTAAGTACGAGGTTAACTCTAGGACCCTTTGGATTTTCATCATCTTCATCAATAACTGTCAAGAATGTATCTCCTTTAATGCCTATACATTTTGTCAGTTGATCGCATTCAGACATGTGCATTCGAAAAGAAAAGCTTACCAAGTTCACTAAGTTTTTTGTCCAAATTCTCAGTTTCCTCAACATCATAAAGTAACCCACTCTCATTATTAACCACGAATTCCTCTCCGTATCCAAGTTGAAGTTTCAAGAAACCCTCAACGAGATCATTGAGTGTGGCTCTTGACATATCAACCAATAGGCGAGTCTGTGCTACACTGCATACAGGACAGTCTGGGTTTGGTTCTCGGTACTTATCAGAGGAGAGTAATCTTTCTGGAGCAAATGGAGAAAGGAAAATCTATTCGTGTAAGTGTGTATTCTAATTATCCCGAACCTGAAACTTAAACATACCTCTTTACTACTAGAGTAATCACCTCGAAGTACTTTGAATGATTGTAAAACACAGAGACCAGCTACAATAGCGTTGGTAGTTGCAATAGCAGGGATGATATTACCGGCCATTTGTTTGATATCAAATCGAGATTTAGTTTCGATACCAAAGACGATGGATCTTAGATTGGCGCTTGCGGTGACAAAGTCCAAAGTATCCTCATCATCTTTATCAAATGTGATTATTGGTTCTGCGGAGGTGGCAGCATTTGAGGTAGATTTCATTTCTTGTAATCTCTTACTTAATCGTTCCAGACTAATGAAGTCAGAATTGTGATTTTTTGAAAAGCAATAAGGGAAATACTAACCTATCTTTGAAAACAATGAGATTCTCATGTAAATTCCAAACTCGTTGATCATCTTTAAGTATAGCTTGCTTGACGGCTGCTTCGTTTCCTGCTTCTACATTCAAGGTGGTGTAATCTAATGCCTCAGGTGGTCGTCTTGATTTCCACATGTCCTCCATAGATCTTAAACGAATGATATCATCCTTGAAGACCTTATCAAAAAGTAGTTGAGGGAATGCATCGGTACCCATTGATTCTTTAATCTTCTTTAAAGCTTGAGACTCCAACCGCAACTTTTCAATCTCCTTGGCTATTTAAAATTAACACAATACTTCAAAATATCACGGAGCAATAGAGCTTGGAGCTCCATAGCTTGGAGGAACATACCATTTTCTGAATCCTCTGAATGATCCATCTCAGCTGATTCATCCTCACTAGCACCAAATACCTCACTTTGATGAATTAGCAAAACTTCCTTCCCGCTCAGTCCCCAGGCCAGACATACCTCAATAAATAGCTCTTTCCCCAAACTATACAATGAATTGGTTGACTTGGTGTACTGCGAATAGTACAAACCGGGAAACTCTTCGGTGTCTCTTTTGTTGTGCAATCATAACATGCCGTCTTTCCTTTCTTAATAACCTGAACTTGTCCATTGAAACCAGTTGTACCCGATTCGACTAAAGGTATATCCGCTGCCAAACACATCTTGTTTACATGTCTCCTAGCTTCAAGATTATCCAAAGCATTGAAAACCATTGTAAAACCCTTGAACCAATCCACATTGAATTGTGCATCCTTGATATTCGCATGATGTGCTTCTAGTTTGACTTTTGGGTTGAACTTATGCGCCGCATCTTTCGCAACCTGTAAATTTCTCATCAGCACCTATCCAAACTCGGCCATAACTAGAGAACCTACCAAAGCTTTTGATTTCTTAATATGTTCATGACGGAATAGGAATTGTCGATTTAAGTTGCTGAGATCGATGGTATCCAGGTCTACAATGTGAATTTCTCCAAAGCCAGCCAAAACCAAGTTCTTGAGTAATTCACATCCAATTCCTCCAGCTCCTACCATCAAGATCCGGGCCTATTTGAATAGTTTAGTAAGTACATTCATTTTCAATGGGTTTCCGCAAAAGTGGGAAGTTCGCAGAAACAGTTGGTTGGAACAAACAGAATTCCAACGACATTGGATTTATATTCCTGCAAATTGGATTTGCGACAGTAAAATATCCAAACCCGACAGCAAGAGCCATAAAAACAAGAGAAAATGAAACAAAATCGGAAGAACTCCTCGCCTTCCAGAGAATAAGATAGTGTGAACTTTGTACGCTTACCTCCTTGACCATAATATTCAAAGGTTTCCCCAATGACTGCATGTTGAATTGATCGCGCATCATGTTGAGTAATTCATGCGTTGATATTTTGCGACAGCGCAAGATGTAGAATGACGACCAAAATCAAGGTTGAGTTTATGTGAATAGAAATCCAAAGTTGATCATCACCGATTGAGATGGTTCCTGAGGCTCTGCTTATTATTTTGGCTAAGCTATCGATTTTACCTATGCGAGCTATGGGGATAAATCCGCCATCGCGTTGATAAAGGTGGAAAGCGCGCTTGATTATGTAAGCGAACTTCTTATCATAGTGTCGTTTGGGTGAAGTTTGTTTGGGTTTTTTTTTCACAAAGTAGGTATGAAGAGTATGTACAGAGAGTATGTACAGGAGACTATGAAGTAGGAGACTATGTAGGTACCTAGTAGATACATGATAGTCTCATTTTGACGTCTGAGTGTTTATTACTAGGTAGGAGGTAAAAGGTAGGTAGATAGGCATGAGCTGAAATTATAACTCAATTATGCATTATACCAGGTAGATAATAGTTTCATAGTATAATCTCAATATAAAAAGAAATTTAAAAATTCTATCCATCTACGTACCTAGTCGTCACCTAGTATTCTCAATCGTTCCTACCTTTACTTTTTGTATCCACACTTCATCTAAAATCGATGAATTTTACAGTCCATACATACCCCGCCGAGTCCACCTCTAATGCATCTCTCATACCCCTCCAAGCTCTAACTCTTTCAAAACTACAAGATTAGTATATTACTACCACATCATTGAACTCTCAAACATCAATCATCAATCATCAACCATTGACCCCAAACCCCCAAACCTCCCCTAGATTCCACACTCAACCCCCTATCCATCATGTCCGACGATGAAGCCGATCCCGAGCTCCTCGAGCTCCTCCGTCAACATTTCCGCAAACCTACCACCCCAGATATCCCCGAAACCCGCGTTCTCGAAAGTGCCGAATACATCTACAACAATTCCATCGATGTCGCTCTCGATATGGCTTCCACCAAAGCAGCTGCTGCATCCATCTACTCTCAAATGCAAACGAAATCCTACTCGACCAAAACATGGTCATCACATGACTTACATCCCAAAGCCAAAGACGAGAGTACGGTAAACTTCATCTTCACCATGGATCTACTCAATTTTTCCTTCTGGAGTCTTCAAAATGAAGAAGAAAGATTTGCAGTAGAGTACAAAGGAAAGAAGTGGACCGGATATTGGAGTTTAGTAGCTGCATTACAAAGAGGTTTAGAAGAGGGATATCCCATTACCAGTTCTTGTTATTGGCAAGACGAGAATGAACTCACGGAAGAAGTATTCGCCCATATCTTTCGTTCATGTACGGCGGAACCCATGCCACTTCTTACGACACGTCTCTCACTTCTTCGTGAAGCGGGGACGATTCTATACGAGAAATACAACTGTTCTTTCACAAATTGCATAAAGGAATCTAATCACTCTGCAGCTGCGCTTGTGAATCTTCTCGCGGATTCTTTTCCTTGTTTCAATGATGTGGTTTCGTTTGAGAAGCGGAAGGAAGTCAGATTACTCAAACGTGCACAAATATGTGTAGCGGATTTATGGGCAGCGTTTGACGGAGAAAGTTGGGGAGAATTTAATGATATTGATAAACTTACTATGTTTGCCGATTATCGTATTCCACAGTTGTTGAATACGTTAGGATGTTTATGGTATGCACCGGCTTTGGAGAGTAATATTAGGAGAGGGGATGTTATTGAAAGTGGACATACTTGGGAGGTGCAGTTGAGAGGTAAGGTTTCATGATTTTCCTTTTCTTTTCTTTTTCTACTTCCCATTTCTTTGTTTTGGATGTGAAGGGAATTGAAAGAATTAATCTAACATGATGAATGATAGGTTGTAGTATATGGTGTGTAGAATTGATTCGAAGAGAGATATTGAAGAATCATCCAGAGGCAAAAGTAAATGCTATTTTGATCGACTTCTTTCTCTACGACACAATGAAGGAACGGGAATTGGAAGGAAAAGACGAGATACCCCATCATAGAACCAGAAGTATATGGTATTGAGCAACGGAGATAAAACGGAGCGTTACTCAATGTTACTATACAAGAGAAGTTTCTAAATCATCAACTTAGATAACAATGAATATGCTTTGCAAGAGATTTAAATTGATGAATATGGTGGAGATATCATTTGTACAGATTTTGTATTCGTCTATCTGTTATACATATGCAGATTGACCATTCCCAGGTCCAATCATGCACCAATATGCCATTCCCTTTGACCATCGGCCACATGTATAATCTCCAAAACGCCTTGTTATGCACATATACCAATAACCATTTTATATCTAACGTAAACGCCGCTCTATGCAGGTATCTCATAAATACACGTGAAATTTTAGCCCAACTATGTATACTTCTACCATGATACATCAGATGTTCCCAAACCTTTTTCAATCGAAACCCAAGATCCATGAAATTCAAGCGATCCAGACGATAATTTTTGTCGCATCCGATAAATACCGTGTCGGTTGCTTGTAATGAATCATGAGTTCTATCGACAGCTATCGACAGCTCTCATGCCACCTCATACTCTCGTCGTTCTTCGCTTGGTAAGAATTTGTCAACAGGGGGTTCATAATGAAAGGAAAGTTTTGTGCGGAATTTCCGAAGCACCTTCCAGTCACGATTCGAGCGGGCGTAAATCTTTCTGGCCACTTGAGGAGGATAGGTGAGATAAATCTCCTCGGCCAAAAGTTTAACTTGTTGTTTCCTCTTATTGATCTTGAACAAGACCAAGTTCAATTCACGTAACTTCCACTCAGGATTTACTTGGGGAAAATCCAAGATGAGATCCCGTTCTAGAAGTTTGATATGTCTTTGACTCGTATTAATCGCGAGTTCGAGGTGACTGATTCGTTGATTAATTTCTCGCGACTCTTTCAAGCGAAGGAATTCCGCTTTCGATTTGATGCTCTGTTTCATAACATGTAGATGCCATGCAATATGTTTGACTTGTTTTGCACTTTGATTAACCTTGACAATAAGATTCATCATGCGCTGCTCTCTTTCTTTTACTATGTAGTAGAGTTCCTTCTTCAAGAGATTGATTTGTCGTAAGCTCAAATTTATCTGGTATTCGAACACATGAAGTTTTTGAAGCCGTTTTAATCCCTTGAGAACAATAATTCTGTATCCTAATGACATGTGTGGAGATTCCTGTAACCTGAGATGATATGTATATCTCCAATCCCTAGGGAATTGATTGTAGTAAAAGGAGACTAAAGACATTTCAGTCGATAAAATGTTTGCTTTTGACAATGCAACCTTGGCTTCCAAGCTTTGAAGCATCACTCTTCTACCTTGGCGGGTTCCTTGTTTCGATTTATCTGCTCGTGCGTTCTCTGTATATGTAAACTTTTCGAGAATCTCGAGGGAGCGGTCAATGCTAGGCTGAAGTGATGGTCGATTCCGAGTTTTTTTCACTGGAAGATAATCCCAAGCTTGAGTATTTCCAAATTCGGGGAAATCAAGGTGAGATTTCTTTTTGACGTTGTAATTGAATCTTTTTGAGGATATCTGAAGAATGTCTTGCAATGAATTTATACGTGCAACAAACCGTTCAACAGAATCACGTATCGAACCAAGGTTTAACCAAAATAAAAGCCTTCCCAAATTCCACCTAGGAATATCTATTGGTAAAATGCTTGGTAGATCTTTTGTCGGGTCAATTCCACAAAGATACATAAGCTCCCTTATGGCCCACCGTGTAGTTTTGGTGAGCGGGATGCGATCAGGTACTTCTATATTTTCGGCCCAGGTCTCTAATATAGAATGTAAAAGTGACGCTCCAGCAGCATGATCTAGTTGAGCTACACAACTTCTCACTGCCTCACAAAGTAACTCTGGTCGAATCTTAATTTTCTTGTCTCGACGTAAAGCTGCTCGAATATACATGACAGATTGTCGAGCAGTGGTCATTTGAAGACTCGTCCCAATAAGAGCATCGAATATAGATTCATCTCGTGGTACTTTTCGTTCCAGCCAACCTACTCTCAGGGTCAATCTTTGAGCATGTTTCTCTGCCCAACTCAAAACACGTGGATTGTCCAATAGTTGATTCTCATGTCTCCGTGCAATTTTCATACTCCCATCCACTGCTCTCATGCGCCTGATAATGCTTCGATAACCTTCTAAATCATTCTTGGCCGCATAATGATTCAAAATAACCTGAATAGTCCTTGAAGTAGGTTTGAACATTGTATCGTAGAGAAATGAATCAACAATTACTTGAGCGTGGTCATGAAGCATTAATTCTGTCAATTTCTCGATTAAAAAGTTATAGGTAAAAATATTTGGCGATGCTGAACTTATGAGAAGATTGTAGCATATCTTGGCTAGAATTAGATTGAGATTATCCTGACCCGGAGATGTAGTTTTGAGGAGATTTTCCAGCGCGTCATGTAAATGAAATCTTTCTTGACCAATTTCGGCTTCCAAATGGTACGCTGGCATGCTGATATCACCCCGTTGTAATTCTTCCACTCGTCCTATCATTTTATCAGTCTGGAGAAAGATACCAGACGATGCTGAGTGTAAATCCGCTGCCATAGGAGAGAGCTTAGTAGTCCACATGAGTCGATGAACTAGCTTCGAAATCGAGTTTTCTAATCGGTCCAAATGTTTCCGAGTTTTTACTTTGCGGGGCTGAAGCATAGCATTTGGTGGTATGTATTCGCCGAACTGTTCTAGGTTTGCAATATGTTCTGGCGTGGCTGACTGAACGGGGGAAGTGGTGGATTGGGGAATGAGATCCTGTGAACTTTCTGGTGCCGTGGTCTCGACAGACCTCGAGACATTTGAGGGTTCGTTATTGATTTGAACTCCCAACCGACTCATGGAAGAGTTTGCCGTCCAGTTGACTCCATCCCACGTCATGGGTCCTGTAGATCCAGCCTTTGTACCAATAACTCCAGTTCTTGGGAAAGAAAATTGATTCCCCAAATATCCTGGGAGCCTTGACGTTCCTGAAATGCCTGGTGTTCCTGACTCTCCTGGCATTCCCGGCATCTGATTCTTGACTTCACTTGCATTTCCTTCGACTTGACGATCCTGCGATTCCTCCACTTTGTCGGTAGGAACTCCCGCCTTTGCTTCTGCAATGACTCGATCCCATTGTTCCCTTCGTCGAACTTTTCGATTCGAATCTGCCACTGCAGCAGTGGCGAGTATTGTTGAATAACATGCCGTAAATATATCCCCTATGCTAACCCTTCGACGTTTCCCAATTGCATTTGTCGTTTGACGAGTTATGATTGTGCCGATTTTCACACAAGCGTTACAACGACATGATGATCTGGTCTGCGCAGCGCGGAACCATAAACTTTGCATTATATTTGCATACTTGTCGATTTATGGATTTTCAGCTTACTGGACTCGTCAGTCGTGCCATTGAAGGTTGGGGAAGTTTCGAACTTTTGCGCTATGTAAAATAAATTGATGTCTATCAAAACTTATCGGATGACTTTCACAATTGGGCGGCCGCTTTAACCGATCGAATTTGTAGTACAAACCACCCCTCCTCATTATGCCCCTCCATGATTTTCATACTTGCGTTGTAACAATAAGATCAAATAAATACATACATTACCAGTATCACGAAACTCACGATGCTTACCTTGACACTTACTGCAGATCTTTCTGGGTCAGTATATAAAGGAACCTCGAGATATACAAGAGCTAACACTTCACTGTATGTAGTGTGAATGAGCTTGTCCCCGATGACAGCGCAGAGAAGAACTTCTGGTATACTTTCAAAGTACAATGTGTATCATGCAGAGAAATTCATCCAAACTTCATAAACATCAATAGATTTGTAAGTCAAGTCAAGGATAGCGAGGGTCTAAATTCTTCTATCCTTCAGATACTAACATGGACTTTAGGAAGCAAATGAGATGAGTGGTAGTAGAGGAGAGGCAAACTTTGTATGGAAATGCAAGTTCTGTAAGGTGTGTAGTTCTACTCATCATATTATGAAACAGAAGTGCTGATTTCATGTATAGAAAGAATCATCTGCATCAGTTATATCAACACCAGTTCCATATCAAGCAGCCTCTCCACCAACTCGTCAAAAGATTCTAGAATTTGATTGTCGAGGTCTTGAGTTGGTAGAATTCAAACCTGAGGTAAGCCTTTCTTTCAAATGTTACTATGATATTTGAATCTTATGTATTGGTTTCTCTTAGGGAGATTGGTTGGCTGTTGGAACTGACAGTGGTACCAAATTTACTGCCATCGATTTGAATGATGGAGAATGGTATGATTATGATGATAAAGCAGGAGAGGAAGTTAGCATCAAGGACTTGAAATGGGAGATTAGGAGAAATTGAGATGAGACAGAAGAAATGAGATCGCGAATAGATGTCAAAAGGATCAAGTATGAATGTTATGAATGATTTGGTTATTAAGTCACCTGCCTGGTCTGTGGGAATGTAGTGTTGAAGCAATGAAAGTATTTGATACCTGTATGGACGATCTATATCAATATTTGATATCAAATTCCATTCAAATATCGTATAGTGACTCCCGAGATCTTCAAGCATGATATAGCTCCTTGGTCATTTTCATCATCAAAATTCTATTGACATTGATGCTGAGATTATTCCACATGATGATCACCAGCCTCATCACAATCTCAGCCTTGCACTTCGCTTAGAAAATTTCCCCAGCGACGCCAGCCTAGCCAACGAGTAGCAACCATCAGCAACCTCAATTCCGACGCGACCATTTCAAACCCGCGTCCCTCCACCACCCATTCATTTCAATCTCCAGCTCACATCATGAGTGTAAGTCATCTTTCTTCCCTCTTTAACATCAAATTACTAATTTTCATTTAGTTCGTACCAATTAACCCCCGTCCGTTCCTTCAAAACCTGTACGTACTAGCTATCCTTCCTCAATCGAGCTTCCAACATCGAATTCTCACCAACTTCCTTCTGCGCATACATGAAGCTATAAACATACTAATCCACTATGTAGCGTCAACGAAGAAGTAATCATTCGTCTAAAATGGGGCGGTCAAACCGAATATAAGGGCAAGCTTGTCAGTATCGACAGTTATATGAATATTCAATTATCGGGCGCCGAGGAGTGGATTGATTCGGAAATGACGAGTACTTTGGGTCAGGTCTTGATTAGGTTTGTTTATTCCTCATGTTATATTTGAGGTTCTCGAAGAGCTTGGGTAATTGATGCTGAGCGTTTGAATTGATGAGCTGCACTTCACTCAGTGGCACGTCATTGCGCTGCGCTGCGACATGGAAATGCTCATCACATTGCGATCGAAATCAAAGTTAAATGCGCAAAATCTAACATTCAAATAGATGCAATAACGTCCTTTACATATCAGCTGCACAAATCAAGAAGGAAGAAGATGATACGAAGATGGAGGGATGATTCTGTGAACTCGCGACTTGACAAATGGATAGATGGATGTGGAAACCATAATTGACTGAAAGGAGAGGAAAGCAAGAGAGGTCCAGTGGGAAATTTGATAGATACCTAGCATGGGAGAAAATATGAATGGAATGCGGAGAGCATTACATAGCAGATATGGTAGAATTTAGGAACATCTCACTTCCAGTGAGCAGGAGTAGTAGGAGAGGAGAAAATTACCTATACCTACAATGATATATTCACGAACGGCGTTGTTCAAGCAAATCAAAACAAGCTTAGGTACCTAGGAATGGCTACCAGATTCTAAACAAGTCACGCCACACTTCTACTTCTACTACATTTTGATATCACAGTGCACAGTGACAAATTATCGTATGGTAGGCATATTCATTTCTCTCTTACTTCAATGATAAATTGATTGATGAATATGCATTTTTCATATAAAACCTATTTACATAAGACAACCAATTGATCGGCTACTACCTACCTCACTCAAACCCACTCTCAAGCGTTTATTAGGTCCTACCATAACAAACGCTTCAACTAACCACTCATACCATACTTTTCTATCATCAGTTTGTCTCCAAATGCTGACTTCTACCTCTGAATCATCAGGAATATATAGAGGTGACTATTCATATGTTAATGACTGAAAATTATAAAGGTTAGGGAAGAAAATACATACCTTCAAAGGAAAGAAAATTGGAAACCATGAAATCATATCTTTACTCTTCGCATCAATTGTATCAGGACGCGTGCTCAATTCGACCTTATTCTCGGCTTTTCCTCCACCTTCATACAAAACAGCTTCGAAATAACCGGCAAGTCCATTGACCACACCACGATCTTTACAAACGAACTTGAGACGTGCATAACGTGTATTATGTTCATTAGCACCATCACCTCCAGACATACTTCCACCACCACCTCCACTAACACCACCGCCTCTTCTGGCTTCAGCAATGTGTAATGTGTTTACAGGAAGTGGATGTGAGAATTCCCATGCTTGTTGAATTTGAGGATGTTCCGGGACGGAAGTGGCAAGGAAATCAATGGCGTGGAACATGACTACATAAGGAGTATCTGTAGCGTGTTCGTCTGCCGAAAATCTGTTGGAAATATCGGCGTGAAGACGAGGAGCAAGAATTGGGGTAAGGTGAGCGGTATATGAAGCGGGGATTGAAATACCGTGTTCTGGTGCTAACACATGTTGAACTCCATCTATACATTCAGGTGATAATTCATTGTCTGCAAAAGAACCAAGAAGTTCAGAGACAAGTATATCAACTTTACCATGTGTAGTTGCTGGAGTGGTTGAAGATGTTGTGACGGCTTGACCTATAGGTCCAGCTGCATTCTTTAATGGTCCTTTCCAAGCACGCATATCGGTCTTTACAACATTGATTACTCCATTCCACACATTTTCGTTATGTCTTTGAAGGAGGACATATGCATTTGGATTCTTCTCCACTGCCCATACTTCAATTGGAACACCAGTTGTTTGACTTGCTTTTAGAGCTCGAGAAACCAAAGGTCCACGTCCAGAACCAGCTACTGCAAGAACAACGGCACCACTAAGACTTGATGTGGGTTTTTTATGTAAAACCCAATCTGATAATGCTCGTTCAATAGCTCGCTCATACCAATCATATTTAACAGGATCTTTTTCAAAAACCTCATATGTAACAGATTCGAGATTATCCGTTAATGGTTGAAGAGGCGCTTGTAAGTAATCTTGATAACCCGATCCGAATTTCTCAATAGGAGTTCGCTCTGGTTGATTTCTTTGAAGATATCTTAAATAAATCAAATGAGCTGCAACATCCTTTGATTTTGTTTGTGATTTGGTGCTATTTCTTCTAGCTTGCTCCGCTTCGGCTGGGGTTGGAGATGGTGCATCTTGAACAACACTTGGTGATGCATAACCATCTGCCACTGAGATTTGTTGATTTGGATCATCCAAACCAGGGATTGGTCCTACATCACATAATAGTAACCATGGTGGGTTCTTGAGCTTCATATAGCGGGTGAGGAGATTTTGATGAGCTTTGCCTAAAACTGGATGTCCACCTTTATTCTTCAAGAATGTTGATTGAGTAAAGGTCAATAATTTCAGGGGCTCAGCAAACCAACGAGATTGAAGTGATTCAATAGGAAGTTGACGGGGAAGTGCCAATGCTACAGAATATTGTTAGCTTATGCTTGTTCTTAAAGACAATCGGTCGGGGAGTAGAAGTCGCAGCTCCAAGAACAGTAATGTCATTACCGACGCGATGGATGATTTGACTTCATAAGCCACAGCCTTTGAGATTTCATGATTTGATGATTCCCAGGTCGAAAAATATGAAAATATTGGAGAAATAAAATATATATTCATTTAACCTACCTACTGAAAGTCTGGAATTGTATTTACATACATCCCGAATCAAATTCCAAGCATCCCAATTCTCATACAAATCAATTTCGTTTTCACCCTTTGATGTTTCTGTTGTTGATTGATATCTGGAAAATGGCAAAAGATCACCCGTCATTTCCGTATGGTCTTCGACACCATACATAGGCATATGAATTGAAATATTGATATAACTGGCAATTGCGAGAGCCTCTTGAATAGCACGAGCATATTGAGCAAGTCCATTATTTCCCGATTCTCCATTGTATGTTCTTGGACCTGGAATAATAACATTACCCACTCCGCAGAAGGAAGCATATGCAATTTCGATATTCAAAACTTGACGAGAAATATTTGCGATGAGCGGGTCTGGAGAACATAGATCTATCCAAGGACTAGAATATGCGATAAGTTGCGAAACTGTATCGGAGGGGGTGAATGGTGTATCGACAGGATCGAGAGGTGGAATAATGGGAGCTGGAGGGGTAGCTTTGTTTGGCGCATCACTTGAGTCGATAGCTGAAATTTCAGCGATATGATTCGAAATCAATGAAAGTACTCTAGAATGGAAATGGGGACTTGTAATTGGACTTGTGAGCATATCATACTAATAGAAAGAATAGTTAGCAAAAGGTTCAATAACTCGAGGGTTGACCTACTCCAACATCACCAGCTTGTCGCAGAACAAATTCTGTGACAGGTAAAGGTCGTTTTGACTCATGATGTCCAATGTAAAAGGTTGTGAGGTTTTCATCGTCTGCCGTGTCAGAGTTAGCATCAGCATCTGCATGCTCTCCAACAAAAGGATCCCAGGCTAGGGTACCGGTAGCCATTGTGATGAGGCGTTATGTGAAATGCGCCAGTTCTGTCTTTTGGGATCTAGGTGAACTCTAAGTTCTCGGTAGTGCGGGGTTGAATGAATTCGTTGTTGAAGAAGAGAGGGAGATATTGCGAGTACCACTACAAGTATCGTAAACCTATAGATAGTAGAATACTCCGGTTCACGAGGACCTATATATAAATTGAATAGGGTTTAACCGTAAAGGTGGTGGTTTTTTTGAGTTATTGTCCTGGATCGATGGAATGATATTTTGGTCAACTTTTCTGCCAGATTAGATCAAAGCGGTGTGTAACAGATTAGACGTCGTCGACTACTTCCAGTTGTATCCACCAACCTCGAGGAAGGACTCGAAATTCGAGACTTGAGCTTACCACTTTATTTTCAAATTAACAAAAAACATTAATTTACATTGTTTCATTGCCAAGCTTGGATCTCATCCACCTAATAAGATATCTTATTTGTTCTGAATTTACATTGTTTCCATAATAAGTTAATGAGAAGAGAACCTTTTGAGCAGATCTAAATGGCTTTGAGCGTCTCGTTTCCACCAAAAGTGTTTCTGTATGAATCTACACAGTGTACCTGCCAAGGAGTCTTTGGACCACCGGGATAAGAGACAAAATCTAAGATTCCGATGATGAGCTGGAATCATAACAAAGGAACCCTTCATGAACGATCACAAAAGTTTGTTGGTTCGATGATAGGTTATGCACTACTTAATCCTAAAACGGCCAGAAGCAGTCAGGTACCGTACCGTTCATCATACAAGTTAACTAATGGGTCAAATGAGCTTTAATGTCAACTACATGCGCATATCTTGAGAAAAGCAAAAGCTCATGAATAGATTCAAACTTTGCTTAGAAAATCCCTTTATTCCACTACGCCTCTTGTTCTCCTTTATCTAAAATTGCGGGGTCGATGGATTTCGCGAGGCGGCGATCCCCTTTTTCTTCGTTTGTCAGATCAGAAGCGCGAGACCGCATTCTGAATGCTTTAAGTTCTAGGCTCTGGTGTAGGAGATAGCTGAAGGGTATTGTATAATGGAGAAGCAAGAGTTATGACTGGTGCCTTGGTACATTCCTATTCTAGGCTTTTCCTCTGTCATCAATGTTCCATTGCCGCATCACCCCGCCTTCGAGATCCATAGACACGATGTACAAAATCAAATCGTCCGTTTAAAAAAGGAGGCTATTCATCAGACACTCACACCTATCATACTATGGGTCGTCAATACCTACTATCAGTCTATTCTTTATGAATCAGTGAGCTTCGCAAGCCGTCGGTTGGTACTTTATGAATTCATTGAGCGGAGCATCTTCCGGGTATTGCCCATACAATGCATGCTGATCGTGGAGCAAAAATGCAAAAAAACATACAACAGTGGGGATTCGCTGGTGGTCACCCACCCAACTACTAATCCACCGATCTGAAGCTTGTGTATGGCAGAGCGGACGGGATGCCCAATTCTCTTCAGTCTATGGTCGTATGTGAAAAACATGATGATGTTAAGTATTATATTCAGAATGTACAAGCCAAGAGAAAGTTGAAAGAAAAGAAGGAATTTTTGATACCTAAACTTCATCATATGCCTAGTAGTTTGTGGGCATTTCTAGACTATCATACACTATCTAATTGAAGAACCAGATGGTATTTGATTATACTCCGTATATCTCACAAGTTTTTCTGGCAGTAGTACCTAGTACACCATGTCAAAATAAACAAGGTTTAAAAATAGGACATATCTTTCATCTCCAATTTTGAGGTGATTGAAATGAGAAAACTTAATATTTAGAATCGAGAGGAAGATTAAAAGCTCATCGTTTAAACTAATAAATGATATTCACAGGCTATAGTATAGATATCTCTAGTAACTATACTTCTTAGCTATATTATAATATATATTCTATATTATATATACAGTAACTAATAATTGAAAAAAGCCATAGCTCAAAAACACACCTAAAATAATCAATTTTTAATCTTTTCAATAATATATAACTATTTATATAAAATATACAAATATCTAAAATCTTTATATATAATAAAGATTTAATAATTATTTAATAAAAATATATCAATTATTTTTAAAGATTTATTTGATCTTAAATTTATAATTTGAAATTGAAGTTTTTAAAAAAATATGAGAATAGACTAAATTAACTAATAAAATTATTACAAAATCGAATTTTTGAATTTGATCAACTTTAAACAATTAAAACAATACGAAATAATTTATGAAAAATAATTTATTCAATTTTTATTGAAATTTATATGAATTATTATACTCTATTGAAATCTTATACTAATTGAATCAAAGATTTTCAGAATATTTAAATTTAAAAAGGGTGAAAAATGATTATTTTTGATATGTTTTTTAGTTCCGGCTTATTTCAATTATTTAGTACTATACTCTTCTTATATTAATAATTTATTTATAATAAATGACTCTTATTCTCTTAAAATATATTTAACTACTTTTATATTATATCTTTTTATTTTTTTGAAAAATAAAATCTTTAATAAAATTTATTCTTAATTAATAAATTCTGATTATTATTAATTATAATTAGAGAGAACAGATTTTATAGATAGAGAGTAGACTTCGCGAGTAAAGAATATAATTATTTAAGTAAAAAAATAGATTCTCTAGTAGAAGTATAGATTATTATAAATTAAATATTATAATTTTAATTTAGATTTTTTTAGTATAGATATTAATATATTATAGTAAAACTATAGCGCGTATTAATATATTAATATAATAGTTAATATGTTTAAAAGAGTAATATATTATTCTCGTAATTATTCTTGTATATAAATACTACTAATAATATATTAAATGTTTAGTTCTTATATATTTATATTTATATTAGACTAGAAATATTTAATTTTAATTCAATTTGAACTAAAAAATAAAGTATTATTATTCAATTTAAATAGGAATGAATATTTTATAATGAATTCTAGTATTTTAATATATATATATATATTTCTTAAATGAATAATATATATTATCATATAAACTAATATACATTTTACGAGAAATATTATTATCTATACTAGATTTCAATATAAGTTTAAAAAGTATTAGAGTAAATAGATATAAGAGTAATTAATTTATATTTAAGAAGTAAAATAATGATATATTATATATTAACTAATATCTGAAAGATATTAGTAATTTCAGATCCTATTAACTATATAAAAAATATAGATATATTATCAAATAAATACTATTCGAACTTAAAGATTTTATTAGTAAAAGATTGAATATTTTTATATTCTAATCTCAATATAAACTAAATACATTATTATTCTTTAGATTTTATATTATACTTAAATCTTATTAAAAACTAATAAAAGACAGATTATATCGTATAAAGTACTATCTTAATAATAGAGTAATTTTTAATTCTATAAAGTATATTGTAAAAGAGTAGAAGGTAGTAGGGTTGTAAAGTAGTCCTTCGTAAATACTATAGATAAGTCACTGAGACGTAGTATTTCCGGTAAAGGAGAGAAGGAGTAGGCTCTATATAGTATATTACAAAACGTATAAAAAGATAGGTGGAAATTGATTGCTTTTTTTAAACTACACAAAGAAGACCTATAAATACTAGCTGCAGAAAGAGGTCACGTGATTAGTACCAAGTTTCGCTTACAATATTAGTCGATAGTATATAGATTAAAGAGATTTCTTTAAAGTATTTAATCTACTTAGTCGAACTCTCGAATAATTATTAAGCTATTTACTAATAAACAATAAGAATAATAAAATAATCAATCGAATGTTAGTAGAGAAATTGTATTCTAATTATCTAGAAGTAGCTTTTGATCTCAGAAGCTCTTTAGACTCTAACTTGTCTTTTCTATATAATCTAAAATAATTAAAAGAAGTATTTTAGCTTTTTAAAAGATTATATAGAGGATTTAAATCAATCTTAATTAGAAAATAGATATCATCGAATTTATATAATAGATAGTACAAATGTTTCTATATGTACGAGATAATAGTATATAACGGTAGAGGGGAATAATTAAATAATGATAGTATATAATCTGATCTATATGATCTACAATACCGTTTTCGTTACATTCTAGAAAATTAAAAATATTATTTATTTACTAACGATAATCTTAGTTATTAATCAAAATATCTCAATAGATTCTAAGTAACTATCTAGAGTATCATCTGACTTTATTATTATATTATTGTATAATTATTTGAGAGACTTATAATGAATCTTTAAGACTTATATTATAATTCTATAGTTTTTTATCTATATAGAAAATATATATTTTATACTATTCGGAAAATTAGTAATAATATCGATATCAAAATATTAATTTAATATATCTACTATAATACAAATATTAACGAGCTAGATCTATCTATTCTAATATATCGATAATACTTTTTCGAAGAAAAGACTTAACGAATTATAATTTACTTGTAGGTATTTTGAAAAAACTACTATTAGTTAAGAATATATAAATTAGATATCCTCTTATAATAAATATATTTTAATCGAATTTGTAAGATAATATTATTAAGGAGATCTATATTATCTTAAAATTCTTTTATAGACTAGCTTTTAAAAACGAGATCTCAGTAAGATAAAAGTTCTCTAGATATTTATACTCGATAATCTCAAGATAAACGACTAGGCTAATAATTGATATATTATTAATTGATATAGTTTACTTCTAATTTGTAAATATTATATAATTTCTACTCTCTTAAATAAATAAATCTAATGTTAGGAATAAAGTATAAAGACTATATTGAATCATACTAGATCTATAAAAAATGAATAAGTAGAGAATTTGATTCCCGCTACTTTGACCAAGGAGAAAGTTCGTAGTATAATTGTTGCGTTTCTTATAATATACCCAGCTACTAATGACTGGTATATCATCAGCGAGATCAATAAGAGGTTGGAATTAAAAATCCTTGGAACAAGGGACTTGACTGAGTAAAGATATAGCTTTTAGTCTTGATGGATACTCATTTGAAGGATCGAACAAAATATGAATATTCATGAGAGGAATAGTAAATTTACATGTAAAAGGCGTTTTGTTACATTCAATTCATACTCAAGCCAAAGGCAGAAATGATGTTGGGTTCTACTTTGCTGATGCATTTAAAAACATCCTCAAGGAAATTGAATTGTATAGTCTTTTCGATCCTTTCCTTCTTCTGTTGCTATCAAGGAACCGGGCTAGAATAACACATGAGTTAAATACCATTAGATGCTCTCTCGATCAATTATCAATTCTTCCATTCGGTATGATCTTCTGCGTGATAAGAAACCCTTTTACCGCCTTCGAATATCGAAATAGGTTTGTTATGATCACATGATAAAAATTGCCTCGCTTCCTAAACTTTATCAAAATTCTGAATTTTCGCGACCTTCAAAACTTTCTTCTCAACGACAACAATCCATTGACCAGCAATCTTTTCGATCTTAGGATAGAAAATTAGCCATTATCAATTGATTAACAACAACTCGCATTCAAACTGGTAACCCCAGTATAAATTTATTCTCCGGCCTGCGGTTTTACCAAAGGTCGTGATCACACCCACTTTCGCCTTTTTTCTACCAATCGGCTTCGGTCGAAAGGTATTCTTTTTCTTCATTTAGAATTGCGGAGACGTGATTCTATCTTATAGAATCTTTGTGAAGTCGCTTCGGTTGCTGATCATCGATTCATCTACCTGTCATCTACCTTCTTTAATCTCTTCGTTGAGATTTTAAGAAGTCTTTGACTTAGCTCTTCACCTGCTTAACTGCTTGTGAAGTTGTAACCTACTTAATTGTGGGATTGTGGCTTTATTGTCACGAGACTTGGTTCTTTAAAATGGTTCCCCAACCATCAACCTCCGGTGCGGCTTCGGCCCCTTCAAAGACCGGCTCGGATCAACCGAGCGATCAACCTATGACCGGCACAGGTGCTACTGTACCTGTAGCCGATATCAATCGACAAGCACCGGGTGCGCCGCTGTCTAAAAGACAGCAGAAGATGTTGAAGCGAAAGGCTGAAGCGGAGGCAGCCGAATCCGGAGCCGGATTAGGAGTCAGTTCGAACGCGAAGAAAGCCAAAGGAGGATCACTAGGCGAGAACTTCCCTGGCGATCAACTTGCGAAGTTGCTGGATAGATGGCATGTAGCCGGACCAAGAGGCCGCGACTTCCCAAGATTCAATCAAGCGAAGTCTATTCTCAAGAGTAGAGAATGTGCAATTCTCCTCAAGCTTCGATCGACGGACCCGGTCAAACAGGGGATCCCAATCTTCGTGGAGGCTAAGGTCAGGCTTGTTACTACCAATCAAGCTCCAGCCCTCGTGATAATTCTTCAAGGCGGCTATCAGATCCAACTCAGATCGAACCATTTCAAGAGAGATGTGAGTGCAAATGAATCGCGCGGTTTAATCGACACAAAAGTTTTTGCCAGGGATAGCAAAGTATTGAAGGATGCCCTCGAGAAATCGTACCATGTCAACCTCCGCGACGAAGTCATCAAATCGGTAAATGACATCTTCACTGTGGATACTAAGAATCTCCACCTCATGGAATTTGAACTGGAAGGCAAATTTTGGTTTGATCGAACACCCGAACTGCCACTCAAGAAAGAGGATCTCACTGAGACTCAATTGCGTCACCAAAACCTCGCGAATTCAATACTTGGGCAGCTGAATCGTGGCCGAAACGATACTATCTGCATTCGAGCACAACAACACGCCTTTCCAGTCATCAACGCATATTGGTCGAATTGTCTCAACTTGGCCCATTCGAGCCGCGATTGGTCATTCTACAACAATTACATTGGAAACATGGCTGGAAATCAATTCGATAGATGGCATAGCGAGAAAGGAAACCCAAACATGCCAATCGTTCGTCAACATTGGATGCAAGTACCCTCCGCTTCAAAGAGTTCGATGCAATATCGTTCATATCCGGCGAAGAGAAACTTCTCAAGTACAAAGGAGCTCGAGACAATCCTTAGTGTTGGTCTCATTGGAGATGCCATGTGGGACAACGTGAATATTGCTAGCCATTACAGCAAGGACGTCATGCATACCGCCATCGTTGGCGAAAAGGACGTAGTTGGCAATAGGATTCTCCACATTCTAGTTTCCAAGAGCGATGAATTCACCATGCCAGCAACACCTCCTGGCACAACACTCAAGGTTCAATTCATATCAAAGGCAACCGAATCGAAACAAAAGAAGCCTTTCGATGAATCACTGATCGCAGAAGGTTACGATGCCGAGCATAATAGTGGTGTGGCCTACAGCATGAATCGATTGACATTTAAGAATAAGGGGAAGGGCAAACAACCAGGTCAAAATGATGGCGAAGAGAAGACTATTCCGGCCGCCGATGGACCCGCAGTTGATCCTGCCGCTGGTGAGCCTGCGGTTGATTCCGCCACTGCCGCAGTCGATGTGGACGCCATGGTCATCGAAGATCCTACTCCTGCTGAAGCTTCCAAGAACAAAGACCAGCCTAAAAACAAGGGCAGCGGCAGCGGCAACGGCAACAAGTGGCAGAAACGACAGGCCAAGGTGAAGCCAGTGAAGAAGGAACCAGTTTTCCCAATGTACAGCTGCAGGGTCATTGATCTTGTTAATTCTCCTGGAGATATCTGCATCGCTGTCAAGATTGCTGACAAGGTTTTGGATGCAAGCTTTGTGGTAGGTACGGAAATCAAAGTCTGTATCATTATGACGAGAAATGCTATTCCCCAAATTCGACAAATGAAAGCAATTAGCAGCATTTGCAAGCAGCCTGCTGTTCACAATGTCAAACATGCAATGTTGCAAAGCTGGCTCCTCGGCGACGATATCTACACGGGCAAGGAGATGCCTGCACAATCTGTTCAGGATGACCACTTTTCGAGAATGAAAGATGTTGAAAAGCAAGCTTTCAATGACTTCCGCGACGCTTGCAACTTTAACGGACCTCAAAGAGACTTTTGGCAGGGCGTCTTTGCCACTACCAAGTTCATGAGTATGCTACAAGGTCCACCTGGAACCGGAAAGACAACTACCGTAGCTTCCGTCACCCTTGGTTTCGCATTATTGAGAATCAAAACTCTCCTCAGTGCACCTTCGAATACTGCCGCACAAGAGTGTATGAGAAAGTTGGTGGGCCACCTCAAGACTCTGTACAAAGTTTGTCCAGAATCGGAAGAGTGGTTTAAGGTAATTTATCTACCAACTGAATCTGCAACTCGCCGCGATCTATCTGAGCAGGACGACCTTGATGCCGAGACCGTTTCAGACATGGTTGCTGATGGAGAACAACCAACTGAAGACGAAGGATTCGAAAAGTACAAGCTCTGGAATCATATTATCCAGGCCTACAAGAATGATGCTTCAGATAAGACGATACATCCAGCAGACGAGCGCAGAAAGAATGCACGAACTTGGTTATCAACTCGTGCGGAAATCAAACTTGGTGTACCCATTAGATCAAAGCAGCGAAAGACTTTCGTCGATCTCACAAAGGCCATGACCAAGAAGATCTTTAAAGATCATCCAATTCGCATTGTAGTTTGTACATCCAGTACTTCTGCTCTCTTGGAAGAATACAAATGGGCCCCATGGGCAGTATTGATTGATGAATCTGCATTTGGAAGCGAACCAGACAGTTATGCCCCTCTAGCCTTAAAGCCTAGACATGGTGTGTTGGCTGGAGATCACGAGCAACTCAAACCTACGGCCAGATCATCCGGTCATAATGAGTTTGCAAATCAGCTTGGACTATCGCTCTATGAACGATTCTATGGAAAATCAACCATGCCACTCTATCGACTCAAGATCAACTATCGCATGCACCCTGATATTGCCGAACTTCCTGCCAATCTGACTTACGAATGGTTGGAGAGTGACGATTCTACCTTGATACCTTCTGATGAGTTCAATTTCTTCAAGGATTGGTGGTATTCGGAATCAGCCAAGGTTTATAGACACAATCGTCGAAAGCCAGAATTCGGTCTTGATACCGATGAATCTAGAATCCATCGCGTGTTTGTCAATGTCAAGAAGGGAGAATCTGCACCAAAGCCTGGGACTCAATCTCAATTGAACCACGCCAACATCAATGCAATTGCTGATATGGCCATGAGTATTATGAAGCATCAACCAACTCGTGACATGCCACCATTGCCATTCGACAAGATCAGTATCCTCACCCCTTACAAAGCAGAGAATATGGAATTGGTGAAACAAGTCAAGATGAGAATTCGCCATGTATGGGGTGATGCCGTTGGTCGATTTCCATTATTTACTACCATTGATAGTACTCAAGGTGGCCAAAACGAGATCATTTTACTTTCCTTGACTCCAGCAAACAAGACCAATGGTTCAAAAATTGGTTTCTTGAAAGAATGGAATCGAATGAATGTAGCACTCACTCGTGCTCAATCGACTTTGTTCATGTTTGGAAATCTCGATCTTTGGCGCAGTCAACTCTCAGTCCTCGTTAAAGGTATGAGATGCAAGAAGCTTGGTCTCTTCATCATGGACCTTCTTGATTATGGTGACATTATCGACATTGATGGTGACAATACTTTACCTGCCAGTCTGGAAGAGTTACCTGATCACAAGACTTGGTCCAACGCCACCATTTCTGTCCCCGTTTCAAAGAGTCAGATCTCCAAAGCCTTCTCCGCCATTAAGGACGAGTACGATGATAAGGAAAAGCTGGCCGAATTGGAGAAATCGCTCTGGACTGAAAATCGAAAGATTAGAGAGCACGGCAAGGCACAACGAGAGAGATTCAGACTTGGCCAGGTTATCGAGGCTCCTCTCAGAGTTGAACGAGACGGTGGAACGGATGGCAACATAGAACATGTTGATTCCGATGATGATGATGAGGCACCTGAGGTCAAGGATAAGGATGGTGATCTGGACATGGACCCCGAACGAATGCCGACCGAAGAGGATTTGGCTGATGCAATAGAGCAGGCTGAGATAGAGGAGGCTTTGGAATTATCAAAGCAACTTGATGAAGATCAGGCTGGAAATAAGGAGGCTTTAGCACTTCGAATGAAGAATGTGCAACCGGCATTACCTCAGCCAGGACCAGCACCAGCATCAGGAGCTTCGGGATCTTCCCAACGACCACCACAAAGCTTTGACCAGAATAATCGTGGCAAAGGCCAAGGAAATGGTGGTTCAAACCAAGGAAATGGTAGCAAGAATGGGGGAAAGAATGGAGGCAAGAATGGCAAGAAGGCCAGAAATTAAATTGGTGGATTATTTAGTTTTGATCAAATAAAAACCTTTGTTTAAAATAACTTGAGCTTTCAAATGAACGTGATGTATTTGAGTCGATTCGATTGTTTTAAAGGCTGTGATATCAGTACCAAACAAGTTCTTTGACGTAGGTGGGAGGGAAAGGGGGAGGGAAAGGGGGAGGGTCACAAAGATTTTCATTACCACTACCAAACACAATGGTTTTAAAGCAACGTTGGCGTTAGCTGTGCTACAATAGAATTATGTATACATAAATCGAAATATAAATGAATCTTCAAATCTTTACTGTAAATTATAATGCTTTGTGATATATAGAATGAGGTGAATTATATTTGACATGAGGTGTAGTAAAGATAAGGTTCACCAGTTTTTCTTTTGCTTATGTCATGACTATTATGTATGGAGTATAGTGCCTCGGCGCTCGTACACGGACGGGTCCCATTGATCACCACAAAGAATCCCGTGTATCTGAGGACAATCAAAGACACGGTGTAATTTCGACTCCGCTGGAGGAAACGGAAGAGAAATCTCAGATGTGTTTCGCTTTAGGTTAATTTTGGAATCAATCCGAGGGGCATTGGGGAACACACCGACAAAGCTTACCAAGCCAGACCGTCGAGTGTGCTATGGCGTGCGAGGGAGATGCAAATGACGTCCCCTCCCCATTCCTCCCCGGTATTGCTTTTCTTCAATTCCAAACGGCGGATCGCTATATACCTAGTCAGTACCCTTTCCCGAAGAAATAGTTATCATGCACTCAATAGAATCCAACCATATCTACACGTTCACGATTACTCATTCAAGAATGGTCAACCGATGGATTAGACGCGGGGTAATCAAAGGAAACACTCCAGACATCAACATGGAAAAGCTTTTAAAATCCTCAAATTATTCATCTCTTAAAGGCTTCTAAAAAGTCTGCTAAAGGTTGACCATCTCTTATATATTGTTCAACCTGATCCGAAATTTTATTATCAATCTTCTCAAGTTCATCTTTCTTCTTCTCCCATGTCTCTTTCAAATCAATCAATCTTTGTGTGGTATCAGCCATATCCTTCGCAGTTGACATGAACTTATCATAAACTTCCTTTCTCTCCTTCAATTTCTTAACTTCTCTCCTGACATTCCTTCCAAGTTCACCTCCAGCAAGTATTTCCTTTCTTACTTTTGACCAATATTCATCACCCAATTTTCTTGTGGTGTGTACACTAATTCCAGCAGCACAATGAGAAAATCCTCCACCATTTGCAATGTAGCCTTGTGCAAATCTCGTACACAATATCTCTCCATACATTCCATCCGAAGCTTCCATCAAATTGAATATGATGTATTGCCTATTCTTATACTCTTGAAGAAAGCGAACTCGACATACGGCCTCCACTAAATTCATGATATAATTAGATGAACGATGTTTTCGATGTTGCTCGAGTCGATCCAAACTTTGTGCGTATCCAACTTCGGTAAGAGGACGAGATAATGGTTCACTACCACGACCATTTTTGATTTCGAATTCCAATCGTATCTCAAGTGCCTTGATCCATTTCAAGATATTCTGTTTCCAAGATTCCTTCTCCACATATCTTCTTTGTCCTGGACGAAGAATTGATCCCCTGGATTCAATGGCATTATCAACTTCAATGGCCAATCTTTGAGATTGTTCATCATTTTCTGCACCGTATCCTCGAATATAAATCTTCACACTCGATATGACAAGCTTTAATTCATTCGCCGTAGGAGAATCACCCTCGAAGTTAACCAAATAGTGAATGTAGATGTAAGGTCTCGCTTCCTTCTTATCACCCCCCATTAATTTCTTCATCTTATGTCGTAGTACCAAATTTTCTGGCGCTTGTAGAGCTTTTGGTAAATCTCCTCGTACAACATGTTCAAGAATTTTCGAATTAATTCCGGCAATCATAAACATGAATGAAACGGACAATTCACTCCACAAACCAGATTCTTTTCTCTTTTGTACCCATTTATCATCAGGTAAACCAGAAAATTCCATCGCAGCTTGAACCAATCCATGTAAACCTTTCTCATACCCTTCAATTAATTTTGCCGAATTTTGATCATAAATCGAGGTTCGATTGACACCAACTCTGGGTCTACCTCCGATATCTTCCATCTCAATATCTTGAGGTTCATCATCAACCGAAGGATGTAGATCGATTTGAGATTCTTGAGCAATATCAATTAATCGATCAACCGAAAGAATTCTTGCATCACTAAGAGTAACTAACTCTTGAATTTCATCCTCAGCATCGGAATCGATTTCTAATCCATGAAACATATTTGTTGGTATATTGCCAATATCCTCCATATCCTCATCATCGGAATCATCTATTTGTGGTCTTTTACCCATGGCAATGGCAGAAAGAGTTGGATAATTCGCATCCGGCATGGAAATATCAGCACCATGTCTAGATTTTCTCACTCGAGACTCTGGGGAAGAATTGGCAGATGATGATCCCGAAGAGATATAAGGAGGAATGATCAATGGTGGAGGTGGAGTTGGTAACATTGATCGTGATGCACTCGCAGAAGAAGAAGAGGATTGAGTAACTCTTGAAGGTCCAGAAAAAAGTGGAACTGGTGGTCTTGATGGTCTTGATGGTCTTGCGATAGATGAACCAGAACTCTTTGACATTTCTCCCCTGGAAGAACCGAAATGTTGTGGTACTTGTTTTTTAGTAGGTGAACCTCGTGATGCTAAAACTTCATCATCGTCATCATCATCGTCATCAATGACTCTCGACTTCTTTTCTTCTTTTTGACGAGACTTACTAGGAGTATTCTCAAATGTACGCTTTGGTGTAATATTTGAAGGATTAGCCACATTTGAAGGAATCCAAATATTACCTGATGATTCCTTACTCAGATATTTTCTTCTCCAAGCTACATCATACTCTTCTAACCAAGCATCAAGTTGTTCGGAATAACAATTGCGTAATTCTTCTTCATCAACATAATAAAAAGGATTATTTTTAGTTCCTACATCATACTCCCAATATTTGATACAATAATAAAATGGACCATCTTTGGTTTCCTTGGTAAATCTATTCTGAATAACAGAAAGTTGCCAAAGATCATCTTTAGATATCTTATCGCCAGAACATTCAAAAGTTAATTTGAAGGCCATGACGACTTACACTCGAAGTTATCCAATAGAATATAAGTAATTTGTTTGTTTGTTTGAATCGCAGACTTTCGTCTGTCCAGACACGTACAATCAAGTAGGTGAAGGTTTGGGGAATGTCACAGAGTGACAAAGTCAAAGGTAACAAGTAATAGATCGGTGAGGAAATAAAACTTGACAATAACCAATGACTTTTATGATGACGGGGGAAGAAAGTGTGTATGAGGTTTTTGTTGTTATTATCTTAATGGTAAAGTCATGAATTGGTGGTAATTGAGGGGATTTGTGTAGGTAGATAATTTGTTGTTTGGTAAAGGAAATTCTTACGACAGCTGGAATACTTGGATTGGAATTCTGAAGATAATTCTAATCACGTGGAGGATTTTTTGTCCAGTTCGAGTTAAGAAGCTGAAGTGAGGGTTGAGGATAAATCTACTCAGAACTAGAAGACAATACCGAGGTACCTAGTCGACTATACATTTTCACCGTCAACTTTTCTCTACCTGTTATTACTGAGTTTCGAGAGTGAGATATGAAATATTTGAACATTCGTTATCGTTTCTATACGTTCTTCTTGTCATAAAAACATTATACGATGACATCTACTTACCTCCGTATGACCTTCGTACCCAAAGTTCAAAAGCTTAGGTAGGAATCCAAAAATCGGAACCTATTTTACTTCGATTTCCTCACGGTTACTACCCATTATTTGATCAAATGCGTTTGCATAAGCTTTTCTTGAAGAGATAAGTTGGGTGGAGTGGGTGGTTTTATATTCCGGTGAAGATGATCTGGTCGATAAGTTGAAGCTCCTCAAGTACATGCCATGTTCTATTAGACAAGTGAATATATGATACACAAGCTTATTGAACTCGTATCTTTCCAAGGGATCAATACCTATATAAAAACTGTCATCTTCTCGTTCAAGACTTCAAGCAAGAGGGAAAAAAAGATGATGCATTTGATGGGAGAAGAGGCGCCGCCTTTGAGATGGTCGGGGACTCTTGATTCCGCCTTCTATGAATATTGTTACGGGGTTTATTGAATGAGTGAAAGCTAGAAGTAGAGCTCGAATCTAAAGCTCGAATGTAAAGACAATAAATCAAATCGTTGTCACTGTCGCCGTCGCCGTCGCGGTGACCGTCGGTTTGCATGAATAAAAAGACTTCGATGATCAAAATTTACACCACCAACCCTTTACATTTTGACCTGCGAGTACCAGGACTTTGAAAATCTAAGTATCCTCAAGAAATTCTTACTAGAATAACAAGATGGCGCAGCAAGATTGAACACAGATGTAATTATGTATTCAAAGTTGCCCAGTACCTAAGATTTATGATCACATGATGAACATTTCCCCTTTCCTTCTCTCCCCTTTCACTCTCCTCTCGCTTCCTCACTTCATACTTTACTCATCTCATTATAATTATAGTATGTTACCTGGGTAGTTGTTATCTATCAGGGCTTCTCCCAACCGGAGAATCTGTAAATTACGCCCAAGACCAAATGATTATATCACTTTCAAACATCAAAGACTTACATTCCCGTCGCTACCATACCAAATGAGTACCCTGTCGGTTTAATATGCTAGTTTCATTCGGCCTATAGTTAATCCATTCCATTCATCTTTCATCTAATAATTGTGCGATCAAATTCTATTCCTTTTTGAATTCGACAACAACAACAATTATATACTCTGATATTATATCATCGAGTTACGACTCAGTCATTTATTTCGTTTTACAGAACCTTTCCTCCGCTGTTTGTCTTCTTCCCCTCCCACATAATTTCTTTCGTTGATACGATACCTTGGTATCGTCTTTTCAGTGAGAAATTGGGAACACTCTGGAAATTTACTCTAAGTCACTTGACTGTGACTAGAAAGTTTATTTCCAAATCCTTTCCTTACCACTAAAACTTCTTGATTGAGGTTTGGAGGCATTGAAAGTTCCAAGACTTACTCAGTGAGTCTGCTGAAACCTTTGGTAGTAAGCGCGATATTTTTTAAAAAAATATAATTATGCCGTCAAACGCATTTGATCAAATAATGGGCAGTGATGGTACTGCCCAACAACAAAACTCAAGTAGAGGTAGAAGAAAAGATGATGCATTTGATCAATATGGAGCTACATCTCTTGAAATTCAATCCTTGAGGGCTAAATTACTTACTTCAAGTAAAAATTTGGAAGAGGCAAAGGAGAATTGGGAACCATTTTTATTAGATTCCCAAAATCATACCAAAGAACAAGAGACTCGAATCGAAGATCATAAATTGGCTACATCAAATGCCGAATCAATCGAAGATAGCGGTAATCAAGCTATTGAATTAATACAAAAAGTTCTAGATGATAGAGAGAAATTGTCGAAAGATATTGATGAGAAGAGTCGGAAACAAATAGCGGCATTTAAGTTGTTATCACCAAAACTTGAGACGAGAGTGGAAAAGATGCTTGCAGATCATGATCATTTTGTGGTTCAAATGACAACCAAAAATGCTTCTCTAATCCAACAAGTGGGTGAATTGAATGGACAAGTTACCGCTTACACATCTGGAGCTCACGTGGGAGAATTGAAATCCTACCTGGAAGGTCAAATGAAAAGTTTAAAGGAAGGAAATCAAGCCGATAGTATTTTGAGCGCAAATCTTCGTACCGAGATTGCTAATTTGCAAGGCAGACTCAATATTGCCACGCAAAAGAAATCTGATGCTGAAGTCAAGGAGAGATTAAGCAACCAAGCTTTGGAAGCTTTAAGAGCAGAGCATGCCACATTGAAACGTCAAAAGGAGGAAGCCGAAGAAAATTCTCAAACCTGGAGTGAAAATTATGACAAGATATTTGATGAAAAGAAACAATTATCCGCTCTCAAGGAATCAAATGATCGCAATCTCAGAGAACTTGGAGATGAACTAAATAGAGTCTTGGAGGAACATAGATCCAAGGTATCAAATCTCGAATCTGATCTCGATCGAGAAAAGGAGAAATCCGAAGGATATTCTCAACGTCTCAGAGACTTTGAAGCCGAACAGGTAAGACGTGAAAGGGATGAGAAGGTTCGTCGAGATGAAGAAAATTCTCGGGTTGAACAAGAAAGACATCGAATGGAGATGGAAATGCGAAGACTTGAGCAAGAATTGAAATCACGTCGAGAAGAAGAAGAAAAAGCTCGGGAAGATGCACGAAATGCTCCCGCTGGGGATGATGTTCGCGATCGGAGAGCAAAGTTTCTTGATGAACTGAAGATTCAAACACTCGAAACTCAAATCGAGAAACTCAAGGTACAATTGGAAACATCTAGTGGTGTCAAAGACAATCTCGAAGCCGAGTTAAGTCGTCAAAAGCAAATCGCTATGACGGTACCCCGTTTGAATCAAGAATTACAGCAACAGAGGGAGATTGCTACCAAAGTCCCGGCGTTGGAGAATGAGGTATCCAGATTGAAGTCAATCTCGGATCGTGTACCAGATTTACATCTTGATATAAAATCATTGCGTGAAGAGATTTCTCGTCTTAATCTTCAAGGGGAAACCAACCAGACCGAGTGGAACGGAGAGGTGACAAAGTATGAGAGAAGTTTGAATGAAGTGCAGAAGCAATTGAGAAAGTCAAGTAATGATCTCAATGAAAAGGATGCAAAAATAAATCAGCTCGAGTTGGATTTGGAAACCTCATTCAATTTGAGGGAGCAATTGGAGCAAGATTTAATTCAAAAGGATGAAATCATACGACAAAAGACTTCCGATAATGAGACACTCATGCTTCGAGTTACTCACTCGGATAATGTTGATGATCTTAAAGCCGCATTTGAGAAAGAAAAGGCAGAATTGCTAGACCTCAAGGCCACTGCTTTGAGAGACAAGTGGGAGATGCGGGTAGTGAAGGAGGATGAGAACCGAAAATTACGAACCAGTTGGCACAAGGATTCTGCGAGATTGGAAAAACTTTTGAAACAAGCTCTTGATCGCAAGGAATCCTACAAAGAACGTGATAATGAGTTGGTGCATATGATTAATTCTCAAGAGAAAAAAGTACAAGAGTTCACCAAATCTAGGCAGGAGGTGGAGGAAAACCTCAGAATCGATCTCTTGGAATCTGGTCAAGAACGAGAGAGACTCCAAGGTATTATTCGTCAGTATGAAGAGTTGCAAGTGGAAAATGAGAGAAGTTATGCTGACAGTCAAGAACAAATTGATCTTTTGAAGAGCAAGGAATCACAACTGAATGACTTGCAGGATTCTTATGATACTCAAAAAGATTTATTGGAACGTACCCAAAACAGAATCAAAGACCTTTTGGAGGGAGCTAGATATGCTAGACTTGAAGGAGAAATTGTCCAAGGCAAAGAAGAGATCAAGAGACTCCAAAGGTTGATTGAAATGAACGACCGAGAAGTGGAGAAATTTAAAGTTACCTTGACAAATCTAAATGCAGCTGCTTTTAAGTATGAGCAAGAGAAGAAGGATGATCAAATTACCCTCACGAGTAAGAAGGAGGAAATTCACAAGCTTTCAACGGAATTATTATTCACGAGACCTCTGGAGGATTATGAAAATTTGGAGCAACGATATCATACTTTGGATCAACGATACCAAGATTTGGAAACACGAAATAAAGGGTTGGAACAACGTTATTCGACCATGAAATCTTTGGAAGAGTATCAAACTTTGGAAAAACGTGCTTCGGCAATGGTACCGATTGATATGTACACCAAATTGGATGAAAGACTAAAGGCAATTTTAGTAAATCCAGAAAGTGATCATGCTGTGGCTACTCGTATTGGACAGGTAACAAAAGGTATGAAGACCGAGGAAGAATTTAATGAGTTACTTGAAGAGAAGAGAAATCTTTCGCAACAAGTAGCATCTATGTATTCTGCATCGGATTATCAAACTTTGGTGGATAGCATTAAGAGTTTAAAAACTCAAAATGCTGAATTGATGACTTTGAATAATTCTTCAAGTCAAAATTCCCCACGTCCAAACTTGACTCCTTTGCCTGGATTGGCTTCTTTTCCAAATCCATACACACCGGTACAAGAACAACGTAATGTACAACCTTGGTCCGGGCAATCATCAATTTCTCAAGGTTATGGATTGACATCTCTTTTTGGTACACCATCACCAACTCAAAGAGAACAAGGATATCATCTTTCACCTCTACAACCTTCTGGTCACATGCAACCATTATCAGCGTCACCACCACCACCGCCGCCGCCGCCACCACATTATGGCCTTGGTTCTTCCTCTTCAAGTGCTCCGACTGTTGGAGGTTCACAACCTTCTAGTCAAGGGTTCGGTCATATTCAGCCTCCGCCATTTAGTCTCGGTTCACCTGCTTCGCGTCAACCTAATGTACAAAATGCGCCCCGGCAACAATCAAATCAGCAGCAACTACAGTCCGCTTTTACCCCGCACCATGCATCACTTCAACAAGTACCCCCACCTCAGCCAGCCGTTTCATTTACGCTACCCTATCGCTTCTTGGTTTCCGGGAGACCTTCAGGTGGTGTTTTGACTGTGAATGTATTACCTACGTTGATTCCGATGATGAATGCACAGATTACAAGATGGTCAAATGTGTCATCTGGTAAAGGATCTACATGGGCTCAACGAACATCAGCTAGTTCGAGTCGCTGTGTGGAAGTGAGATTGAAGAAGGAACCGGTGAGAAAATCCCCACCAAGTTCAGATTTTGGCGATAAATTTGCCTGTCAAAATTGTATTGAAAAGAAGTTACTTTGTGTTTTGATTGGGGATAATGGTCCAGTTATTGCACCTTTACCTCTTGAGGATAGGGTTGCTAATTCTACTCCCCTATTACCTGGATACTATGTAAATTAGATATTTGTTATTGGTGGAAGGAAATTTACTTGATTTACATATCTACTTCTTATTTCGATGAGTGATGTTCATGACGATGTGTGATTCTTCTATTGTGATATATCTTTACCGGTCGACAATTGAATACAAAAGTCGGTGGTGAAATTCCGGTATCCTTGATTCCCTCATTCAGTTACGGAGCTCCTCTGTTCAGGGTAAAGATATGCGATTTCTACATGGTAAAAAGCCTAGAGGGACGCTATCATAAGCTTAGAAAGGCCAATTCGGAATGAATTCTCAATTATCGAGTATCATCTTCGGTTCCCCCTGACCCCGAGACCATTTGACTCACCGGAGACAGTTTTTGGATTTTGGTAAGAACTAATCATCACCAAAAATAGCTTTTGAAAGATTCATGACAAAGATATCATTCATGGGGATCACCATACTTCTATGCAACTCATGTGAGCTCACCCGAGATAGTTTTCACTTCCAATAATTTTCCAAATTTTCCAAATTTCCCAAAAATTTGAAGCTCACCGGGGATGAATTCAGGAATCATTCCACTTCGGAACCAAACAATCTCGTCGGAGATATGTCACAACCTTACAAGATTCATGTAGATATCATCAAAAGTAACCTCATTCAATATTACCTATCAAATCCCAAAGAATTCCTCAAACTCTCAAAGTTTCCAAAATGTCAACCGCAGATTTTTACATGCGTCATTTGAGATTCTCAAGACAACAGACAACATGATCAATTGAAACTTTTGAATTGAGGTTTAGAGATTATCATTCAGTATTCTATGATCTGATCCTCGTATGTATCCTCGTACGTTACAAATGAATGAAGTATGTAAATCATTTTCTACAAGTTACTTTTCCATCTCCGTATGGTGGTACATGAAATTAGGCTGAGCTTGAGCGATCATGTAAACACCCCTCCAGGGAAAATGCACTTGACGATCGATGAAGTTCACTCCCTACATTCATCCTCAAACGCTTTCCCGTTCCATTTCCCATCCAAGGTGATGTCCATTTTCCATTTCTTGATAGTCAGTCATTTCTTCTTCGTAATTATCAATGCTGTCGACTCCACCTGACAATTATTCTCGATACCACTCAATTCATACCCTTTGCTCATTCGATTTCGCAAAGCCTTATATTGTGTCAAGTGCCACGAGTAATTGTTTCATTCATTCATCCTCCTTTACTTTTCCTCGCCTGTTTAGTAAGCTGGAGACTAAGACTTTTAGCTTGGGACTAAGGGCCTTAGCCTGGGACTAAGGGCCTTAGCTTGTAAATTTGTACTGATAGAAATGAGCTAAGGGCCTTAGCTTGTAAATTTGTACTGATGGAAATGAGCTAAGGGCCTTAGCCTAGGACTAAGGGCCTTAGCTTGATAATTTGTACTGACAGAAATGAACTAAGGGCCTTAGCCTGAGACTAAGGGCCTTAGCTTGATAATTTGTACTGATAGAAATGAACTAAGGGCCTTAGCCTGAGACTAAGGGCCTTAGCCTGATAATTTGTGTGGGGAAAACAGACTAAGAGCTTTAGCTCCACGCTAATTCCCTGCCCTCCAGGCTCCAGGCTCCAGTAGAAACCGAGTGTGTATTATCGTAACAATCTGTATCACTTCATAATGAACACGGTTTGTTAATATCAAATATCCAACTTATATAGTAATACTTCTATAGTACTTTGAAGCTCGATAACCATAAACATCTCTATAATCAATCACATCATCAAACCAATCATTTCTCTAAAGACATAGCCCCCTTTGTAATCCAAATTTGAAAGAAATCCGTTCACTGGTTAATTTTCAAAGTGTGAAAGTAAAAAGGTCATGTAAGGAGAAAAATTCCGGAAGCGAGAGATGAAGGATGAATTTCGAATGTTCGGACAATGATGATTGAGGACTTTACGATGGGATTTTCTGCTTAATCAATTAATCATAAACCTCAAGTAAGAGAATGACGAAATATAATCTACGAATGTTCTGCAAATATTTTGTGAGATCTGCGAATTCTCCGCAAGTGTAATATGATGTCGGTTGGTTGTGGTCGATTGATGAGTTGAATTTGAGATTCAAGAGCAAAGGGTACCCAACGAAATCAATCAAAAACAGACCTCCGGTCATTAAATCTCTTGCTCAAATCAATTTTTAGATATTGAAGTACCCGAAAATCGAATTTGAAAAGTTTCCATCGAGTTGTCATTGTGTTGTTGGTGGTTGAGTGATTGCAAAATTAAAGTATATTCTCAAATTCATCTTTTCTCAACACAACAAAGAAGCGACCGTAACATTTTTATTCCAATTACTTCATGGAAGAATGATTATATCTTATGAGAGTTTTCAGGATGAATTTCTTGGTTTTTGAGATTGTGAGTCGTTGAATTGTCTCAATTTGATCTCCTTTTTATCTGTGAACCGTAGATGAATCCCGACCGGAGTTTTTTTAGTCGAATTAATTTTTTGGGTATTGAAGAGTATTTCTACAAAGTTTGAAAGTATTTCTACAATGTGTTGTTTTTTAAATGACTTGAAGGAATTGATATTGGGAATGGTATTTGGTCATAGCAGACTTCTCCTCCAGGGGAGTTCCATCGCATCTTCTCTGAATATCCTCAGATATTTAAGAGAGATAATTGCCAAGTTGGGGTGAACCACTGGGCTTCAACTCTTGGTCTCCAAAATGGTACACGAAAAATACCATTACTCATCGAAAGTACTAACAGAGTCCTGCGTTCTCTACTAGCAGTGAAGTATAGCTACGAGTTTCAGGTGTCCGATCACTTGCTCCTCTCGCTCCTTCGAATTCCTGCTGATATATGTTTAACGACCGAGAGGAATTTCTCTTAATCCTTACTTCTCATGCCCAAGATGAGCTTGATTCAAAGCTTGAGATTTCTACGACGATAAAATTTTATATTGATATTAAGAAATAACTAGGGCTAACACCGGTAGGTGGCAAGTGAACAATACTAGGTACTTAGGTATCGCCAATAAACTATCGTCTCATCGACCAATCAGACACTCTGAGAATGCTTACTGTTTACGGGCAGCAGATTCATAGGTCCAGACATGCAACAAAACTACTGAAGAAGTGATCTAATTGGTTACCCGGTACTCGGAATGAAATGAATTGAATGATAGGAAATGTAATTTTTAAGAAGAAATGAGAAGAGATACTAATCAAAAGATATACGGGATTTTTGTAGTGATCAGCAATAGGAATACGATATTCGTCCGTGTACGAGAACTTTCTCACACCGGACACTCTTATACAATGGAGTCGGATAGGTGTGGTGGATATATCGTGAAAGTACCGAGTGTACTTCGTATGATCGTATCGTGATAAATGTAAAGTTCGTGTGGAAGGTTCCAAGTATTCATATGTATGTGGCGATACGAGCTACTTTGATTTTTCATTGGCTTTCAAGATATATATCCTATTTAAAGATGTCGGTATTTTGACATATCGATAAAACTATTTACCCGTGTTGAATGGAACTACCTACCTGGTAGATACTACATCCATATCCGTGTTACTATAATTTTACATAGTCTGTTGAACCAATATCAGTTCCATCTCCATCTCAATCTCACCGTCATACAACAGGACCCGTTGAAATATATGTTTATTTTCACGTCCCAACATATTGAGCAACCTCCTTGATTTCTTGGAATACTTTGTAACCTTACATCGTATACCAAAGATCAACACACGGCTAACGGCAATTGATAAATCATTTGTACGGAGGTAGATAGATGTCATCGGGATTATCTCGGATCTCGGATCTCCATTCACCTCATTGGTTTAATTTTGCATCCCCTTTTCTTTTTTTACGGATTACCATGGTGGAATAGCCGGTCGGACAAATTGTGATGTAATGGAGAGAAAATCACCGTTGGGTGTCTCGTGGTTGTGGTACATTACATCAATCTTTATCAATCTTCAACCTAGGGAATCATCTTCTTTCTTCATCAAATGATAAAACAATCGACATGAAACGATTCAAACTCTCACATTGAGGTACAAAGATTTCATCCTGGAGAGGAAGCGGTTATTAATTTCTTCTCAATCATCCTCATCACATCATACACCTTTCCTATTCCCGATTAGTCTCATGTCTCGTATTGAGTTTAATCTCTTATCAAAATTAAACTCATCATGGATTAGCCCCAATCGGGCCCCTCCATTATTCCAGTATTTGACCGTGTCATCCTTCCTTCAGTCCAAATAAGCTTCATGTGCTCCACCTTTGATTTTTGAAGTGAAGTGAAGTGAAGTGAAGCTTCCTTGATCTTTCTTTTACTCTTCACCTCTCTTCCTTACTTCTCACTCCTCTCTGCTCTCTTGCTCGTGAGTTTCGCAAGAACGATTGATTTAATTTAATTTTGTTTTGGAAATCCTCACTTCACTCGTTTGAAAGGCTTTCGAATTTCTAGTAATAATCCTTCTCTCTATATTTGCTCTCTCAAAGATTTGGTCCATCCCATCTTTGCTCTCCCATTTGCTCTCGTTTTTGTTCTTGGTGTTTTGGACTTGATTTTCTCTTGTAGAAGATTTGTTTACAGTACTACCTGCTCACCTACCTACCAATTACTTAATTAATTTTTGGAGGAAATCAGAAATCATGTTGTCTACTATGGTATGTTTACAAATCCTCGATCCCTTGCAGTTTGATGGCTTGAATGGCTTCGATGGCTTCAATGACTGAAACACAACGGCTTTCATCGCACTTTGTCGCATTGTGAACCGTTAAACACATGCATAATCTATCATATCGATTGTTGTGCAATTATATTCAATACTAATTTGTTCGCCTTATATTAGATTCCCACAACCGTCCTCGCACTTTGCGCAACAGTTACACTCGCTGTACAAACGATAGAAATCCAAGGTTCCGATTTTGTCAACTCTGTTACCGGTGATCGATTCCAACTTTTGGGTGTCGCATATCAACCAGGTGGATCTTCAGGTTATAATCCTTCGAGCGGTGTTGATCCTTTAAGTGATGGAGCCGTCTGTTTGAGAGATGCCGCTTTGATGCAACAATTGGGTGTTAATGCTATTCGTGTGTATAATGTGGATGGAAATTTGAATCATGATGAGTGTGCCAGTATCTTCAATGAGGTGAGTGATTTGTGGCTTCAGTCTGGACTATAGATAACTAACATCTTTTTAGGTCGGCATTTATATGTTGATTGATGTCAATTCTCCTTTATCCGGCGAGAGTATTGATAGAAGCTCTCCATCGACTACATATGATGTTTCATATTTGAACAGAACCTTCGCAGTTGTTGAGGCCTTTAAAGATTACCCAAATACTTTACTTTTCTTTGCTGGAAATGAAGTTGTTAACGATGATGAGACTGGAGGAAGCGTTCCCCCATACATGAGAGTAAGTTTCCAAAACAGACTCTCCATCCCGCCCCAAATAAACTAACACATATAGGCCGTTACTCGTGATCTTAAGAACTATATCTCAAAGCATGCTTCCCGCTCCATTCCAGTTGGTTACAGTGCTGCAGATGTTCGCGATATTCTCCTCGATACATGGAATTACCTTCAATGCACTACTACCGGAGATGATTCCGATCCATCAAGAGCCGACGTCTTTGCTCTCAACAGTTATTCATGGTGTGGAGATTCTTCATACACGACTTCCGGTTATGATGTTCTTGTTTCGGATTTCAGCAATACTAGTGTTCCCATTTTCTTCTCCGAATATGGTTGTAACGTTCCGGCTCCTCGTATTTTCACAGAAGTTCCAGTTCTTTACGGTCCATTGATGACTCCAGTTCTTTCCGGTGGAATGGTTTATGAATTCTCTCAAGAAACCTCAAACTATGGATTGGTTACTATTAATGATGATGGATCTGCTCAACTCCTTTCCGATTACAACACACTCCAGGATCAATTCAACACCCTTAACATTACTAGCATTCAAGGAGTCAAGGCACAAAACACCACTACAACCGCACCATCCTGTGATTCATCTCTCATCACTAGCACAACCTTTGCCAATAACTGGACTATCCCAGCTGTTCCACCTGGAGCTGAAGATCTTATCAACAATGGTATTAAAAATGCCAATAATGGAAAGATTATTTCGGTTTCAAGTACCAAGGTCACCCAAAAAGTTACTGATGTTGGAGGAAATACCATTTCTGATCTTGCCATCAAACCATTAGCAAATGATGCAAGTAACACACCATCTGGTGAATCTACTGGCTCAAATGCTACATCTAGTTCTACAACTTCATCTTCATCTTCATCAACTGCTACTGGTACTTCATCCGCTGCTAGTTCTACAACTACGAAGAAAAGTTCGGCTAGAAAAATTGAAGGTAGCATGATTGCTTTGGTAGCTGTTCTTGGTGTTGGATTGGTCTTGATCTAAATTCACTTTTTATACATTTTTCTTTTACAACATTTCGATTCTTGCACATATTTTATTTTTATCATTATCGCATGCATGCATACGCATTTTCATTGTACATTTGCTTTTGTACATGATGTGGCTGGATTCCACCGGATACTTTAAGTCATGAGATATGCAATGGGGATGATTTTCTTGGGGAATTTTGTTTAGGGTGGTATGGATTGGTGGATTGATGGATTGATGGTATTCTTCGAAGAATGATACTGGATTTTTGATGGTGAGATTTTGGGAGAGCAATTTTGGAGGGAGATTTTGGGGATTTTGGAGGAAGTTATATTTTGAGGATGATATGGCCTATATATGGGCTTGATGTTTTGGGGTGGTGGTTTTGTGAATCAAGGAAAATTAATGAATAAATGTGATACCTTTCTCAAGTGTATTATCTCTTGTGGTGAAGTTGTGATAGGATGAAATGATGATAATGTGTTGTAGATCAGAAAGTTTGACACGAAGACTGGTAGATTGATATGATTATGTGGTTGGTGGGTAGTAGGTAGAAAGGAGATGGGAGGTGGGAGAAAAAGTAAAGATGAGAGTATAAACAACTCTAAGAGAAAGGTAAGTGATTTCGATAGTATATACTATACGATCTCAAATTTCGTATAAGAAAAATCAAGGGGGTATAAGAAGGTAGAGGGGGAATTTAAAAAGATAGAATTGGGATAAGAAAGGGAATGGGAATAATGTTGGGATTATGGGATTTGAATTATTTCTGTTATTCTTTTTTGGTATTTGAGTGGAGAGATTGGAGAGAGATTGGAGAAAGATTGGAGAGAGATTGGAGAGAGATTGGAGAGAGATTGGATTGTAAAGTATATATATGAGTGTGAGGATGTTTTGTTTTGATATATAATACTGGTTTGGGTTGGCTAAATTGGCTGTGAGTTGGAGGTTGAAGATGGGGATAGGAAGTATAGAGAGGGGGATGAAAAGATGGTGGGATTTTTGAAGGAGGTGAGATGGGGGAAATGAGGGGATTGGGATTAGGAATTTGAGATTATAAGTGAGGGGATTGGGGATTTGAAATTGAGGCTACGAGAAAGAGGTTATGAGAAAGAGGTTACGAGAAAGAGGTTACGAGAAAGAGGTTACGAGAAAGAGGTTACGAGAAAGAGGTTACGAGAAAGAGGTTACGAGAAAGAGGTTACGAGAAAGAGGTTACGAGAAAGAGGTTACGAGAAAGAGGTTATGAGAAAGAGGGAAAGGAAAAATCGCTATAGGGGTTGAGGAGATAATAAAAAGAGGAGGGAATCCTGACACAATTAAATTTGTTTATATAAGGAATATGGGAGGGGTATAAAACGTATGTGATGTCAAGTGATGGCGGAATTACAATTTGTAATATGAAGGTTGTTCATTTGGGAAAGGAAGGAGAGGGATTGGGGTGTTGGAGAGGAAGTTGGATGGGTTGGATGGGTTGGGAGTGGAAAGGTTGGGATTGGAGGGGGGGTGTGAGTAGAAGATTATATTGTTTATGAGAGATGTATATGTAGGGTGATGTGAGAGGAGATGTAATGTGAGAGGAGATGTAATGTGAGAGGGGATGTGAGAGGGGATGAAGAGAAACATTACTTTATCTAAATGGTTTGGGGGGGGGTGGAGTGGAGTAGAGGTAGGAGTATCTGATGAGGAAATCGGGAAATGGGGAATTAGAGGGGGAAGGTGAATGAATACATGAGATTTGGACATTGAGGATGAATAGTGAGAATGGATGGTGAGGATGGATGGTGAGAATGGATAGTGGGGAGGGGGATAGGATGAGGATGTGTGATGATGAGTAGGAGATGTGTATACGAGATGTAGGATATTGATATGAATGATTTTGTGATGTTAACAACATGAGAGAGGGTGGAGGATTGGAGAGGTATGGCTGGGTGATGAGGGGTGATGATCAATCAATCTAGGATGATAAATTATCTACTTATAAAATGATTGTCAGTGCGATCCTAGGCGGATGAAAATAGCTTTTACCTTAATTTATATTTATATATCCAAAAGGGATGAGATGTAAAAACAAATCAAAAGAGCGAAATAAACGCTCAATGGACTGGATAATCAAGTCGTAATACGCAGGCGGGATAAATGTGTAACCCAACTCCAAATATATTTATCCACATCATCACAACATCACATCTTCACAACATAAAACCAAGACATCAAAGGTTTGAAAACATTCAAGATATGTATTCAAAAAATAAACCCCTCATGGGATGCATCCTCCAGAAAATAAATGTATATACAAAATCTGCCTCTAGTACATCAATCAGATATTCCTCCATGTGTATCTGAAATATCCATCAATTATCCGGTCATAAGAAACCGTTAAAAAATATTCAGTTCAGATATTCGGGAATAATCGTCGCGATTACTGTAAGGCTTAATATTAGCTTTAAACTTCTTTTGTGACGCTTGGTGATTTTTGCTGTTGTGTGATGTTGTGTTTATTGTGATGTGTTGAATATGATGTGATGTATAATGTGATGTGATGTAAGAAGAAATAAAGATATCGAAAACTGGTAAACTATTTGTAAAGACCTAGTCTCACTCTATCCATTTAAGCAGCCACACACTGGGAGTAATAAGCATTTTGCTCGACACAGGTACCCGTGGCACAAGCGAGTCCTCCCGTGCAGTTACCGTATAAAGGAACAGAACCAGTGGATGAAGCAGTGGTGCTGGTGGCTACAGCGGCAACACTGGTTTTGGTAGAGCTGGCTTTGGTGGTGGGGATGGCTGCGACGGTGGTTTTGATGGTGCTGGTGGCTTTGATGGTGGAGGTGGTGGTGGGGGTTGCTTTGCTAGATGTGACGGGGGTGGATGAGCTGGCTACAACTTTGACGGCACTTCCCTGGGTGATGGAGACGCTGTAGGCGGTGACGTCGAAGACGGCGTTACTACCTGAAAGTGGGGATTAGTATCTTGGATGTGAAATGGAGAATGGATTTCTTACCGGTGAAAGGTTCGGTTCCGGCTTCCAAAACGTTAATGTATTGGCTAGTAGACCATCCTTCATTGGTAGCCAAGTAGTTCAAGAAATCCATCAGATCACCATTGAAATTGGTGGCTTCAGTCGATGCAACGAATGAGTAAACGGTAGTATCTCCGTTGGGTCCAGAGTACAATTTGAATTCATAACCAGCAATGGTGGCGGTAGCGATAGGGGAACCGGTGGAAGAAATTGGTCCAGCTCCTCCGATGGCGGCTAACCAAATCATGATTTCATATTCGTTGGTTCCTCCAGCGGTAGAGGCAGTGAAGATATCCCAGGAAACATCAGCGACGATGGATGAACCGGTGTATCTATGAAAAGATTAGACTTCTATTTTTATTTTATTTTTTAAAGATAAAAGTGAAGATAAATGCTTACCCCCATTTCCAAACCGCAGGAATGGCAGAGATCGAAGAAACTTTCACACCAGCCGTAACAACCGAATTCAAAGCAATATTGGCATACGACTTAACGCTGCTTGAAGCACCCGCCCAACTCCACGATGTGGACCAAACAATGGTCGATCCACTCAAGGAAGTAACGGTCGAACATTGAGATCCGGATGTTGCTGAATCTTTACCCCAGAGATCTTGGTACACGGTATAAGCACCCGTGGCAACACTATCATATTGACCACAGATTTGAGTTGATCTCGCTTTCAAAGTTTTGTCGGCAGCTGGAGCGGCGAAAGCAGCACCGGAGAAAAGAAGAGGAAGTGCGACCTGCGTAAACTTCATTTTGATGGATGATTTTATTTTTTGCGAAAAAAGGAGGGTGAGGGTTTAAAAATAAGGGATAGAATGGTTTGTACAAGAAAGAATGAATCAACCTTTTGATTTGATGGCCAAGAGGAATGGATAATTGGCAAAAGAAGAGGAAGAGTTATATATGAGAATGAAATGATGTAAGCCAGTGGTTATTATGCGACCCGAAGGAGGAGTGGACGTCGCGCCACTCTTTCGAAATAGATGAAAAATAAATGAAGTAAGATGAGTTGAGGGGTAGAGATGGATCTTTTGATAAGCGACATGGAAATGGAGGGAATGGAATTGGGTGTTTCATTTGGACAAAGATAGTTAGATGCTCCGTGTTGCGGAAAGATTTCAGGGGTAATTTGTGGGGTACATGAGTCTAAACACTTTACCGATCCAATGATGGAGTTTCTGAGGATGGTGATCATGGTTCTTGGGATGAATGTTTGTGATGGATAAAACAAGGTAGATCGATGTCCTCATGGACCGTTTCGTTTATTGACAGACTGGGCAACAGCGGGTATGTATTGTGGATGCTTTGGACAAGCATGACAGCGTGGGAAATTCTCCTTGGCGCGAAACGATTCTTCCAGAAAATGTATACTTCGGATGTCATGTCATTTGAAGATTCATGTACCTAGTCTGGACTTGGGGTACCGACGAACGAGTAACTAAAAATAGGAGAACCATGGAGAATTATTGAAAGTATATTTGCAATATCCGATTTTAATGAATTAATCATTTTTATAGTATATTTAGAGGTTCAATTTTGGAGATTCGATCTGGAAGACTTATATAATACTTTGTACTCCGTATCTTTTTTCAATATTCCTCGGGAGCTATCCGAAAGATCCGAGGGGACCGATTGATGAAAGGAATGGTTCACCATTTACGTATTGTTTGTAAGTACTTCGTATACTCCTGACAGAGAGTATATTCCTCCCCTTGATAACCACACGACCAAAGCGAAAAAAAAGAAAACCCTCAAATGAAAAGAAAATCCTGCAATAATCCTGCATGATTCAATTTGCATCAATTTTGCTTCTGCAGTTCCAAAGTATCCAGGTATAATTGAGGAGAATGTAACCTAAGCGAGCTAAATTGACGCCGTCTGTAGGTGGGAATTTTTAACCCCGGATTTCTGCTTTTAGAAAAGATGATGATGATCAACGAAATGCAGTTTTGCCGCGTGTGAATCTACCGAGGTATTAAGGGTGAATGGAGTATGAATTCTTGGTCTTTCAAATCCGAATTCGGGTTTTGTTATCCGTATATGGTAATACAGAATTTTATAAAGGTCAGATGTACCTATGTAGATCCAACGATACCAGGTGACTTACCGGTACCTGGATTGGACTCCACCGAACAAATGTTGTCTCGAGTCAGACAGTTTGCACCTGATGGATACCTTACCGGTACATGTTGATACGATACGGAAATTAATGTTCCTCCATGGAATTGTGAGACATGAGAGGATTCTTCCGTATTGCGAATTTGGAGTGTGTGAATATGGAGTATGTGAATCAGGTGCTTGAAGGAATGGAGTGTTATTGGGCACGTTTGAAGTTATCCCGATGTTTAATATTTTGGTCTTTGGGGTATAATGATAGTGTATTCTTTCGATGTGGAAATGAATGCTGTATGTTGGAAATGCAGTACGGAAATCTTTTATCTTGTGAAGATGAAGATTGAATTAATTTTTTCAATTGAGATTGGAAGGGAATGGATTGCTGTGATGCATATTCCGGATATCGTTTTCGTGATTAAAAAAGTAAAGATTAACCTCCTTACCCTCCGATAATATTCAGAATTTTGAAGCACAAGACCTATATATCGATTTAATACCACACTCAAATACATAAGCAGTATATTATACCGTCAACAATCAAGAAAATAACCGTGAAATCTATCCACCATAAAAAATCCGTTATTCAATCCATCTAAACACCATTTCCGAATACTCATTCAAAGCACCTAAACTCAATCTTTCATGATCTGTATACATCTAAAAATATTACATTGCAGTGAATATATATTGAATCATCTCTTGCAATTTCTTATCTTAGTCTAGAATTCCTTTTAAAATCTAGATATTCGAGTTCCGTAAAATATATACTACTAATACTCGGAACTTATATTCTAATCCTTCGGAAAGACTGAGAAAGAATAATATAGAGAAATAGTATTTTTCTTAGTATGTTTGATGATTTAATAATAACTATTTTCTATAGATAAAGTAATAAATATAATATTAAGGAAAAGAAAAGAAAAGAAAAGAAAAGAAAAGAAAAGAAAAGAAAAGAAAAGAAAAGAAAAGAAAAGAAAAGAAAAGAAAAGAAAAGAAAAGAAAAGAAAAGAAAAGAAAAGAAAAGAAAAGAAAAGAAAAGAAAAGAAAAGAAAAGAAAAGAAAAGAAAAATAGAAATTATTAACCCTCTGAAAATTACCTCCTGATTTATGATTTTATCATTAGATACTTATCTATATTCTATAAAGGACTTAGATATACATTCTCAAAACCGATGAGATGAATAAGCTTAATTATAGATATGTCTTAAAGAGTATTAAATAGATAGATAGTATAATTATCGATTTATAGGTAGTATCGATAAATAATAGATGTTTGAATACTGAGTATATTATTTGTTTGTTGTTTGGGGTATAGAGATACCTATCTATCTATCTAGTATTAATTCATAATTAATCCGGATCTATGTACTCGAGTATTTAGATAAGTATACTATATCAATAAGATGAATCTTCTTAATCAAGGAATAGGGATCTTCAAACTGCCGTTGGTATTACCGCTAACTACCGTTCACACTCCCGTTACCACTACCGAACATACCCCACAATCAAGGAAGCACCTAGGTAGTATTCTCTCTTCTCCTCTTCCCCTCATCCCTATCCTTAACATACCTAGTATTCATATCCAGTACCTACCTACCTAGATATCTATCATACACATAATAAATTTACAAAACATATATCGAAACATCATTTCCACTTCACATTTAAAATCAAAACACACATACATCTCCTCTTCATTGACAGGCAGCCTAGTATCTAAATCATTTATGAATCGCTCGCTCGCTCATATCAACTCAACAGCGGTCGTCGATACTTTGTACTACTGTATCGGCGTGGCAATGGCAGGTACATATATACAAGACAAGCCAAGTTGACAAGACATGATCCGTGCATCTACCGTTGATCTAGTCTCTATTAGGAATAGTTTCCATCAACAATACTCTTTTCCAACTTCACTCCATTCATTGTAAATCATGAAAATTATCAGATGGGATGTTTTGTAAATGGATTTGGTCATGAGATTGTATATTGAAAAGCTTACTGTTATCATTTCACTTCTATCTGTTGTGGATTCCTATATTCTGGGTTTTGGTGCTTCATTTTGACTCATCTTGTCTCTATTTGTCCTTGTCCTGTCTCTACTCAGGCTTCATAATTCCTACCACCTAATAACTTCAAAATCCATCAACAGATCAAAATCTTAACCGCTAATCATCAGGTATATAACCCATTCGCAATACTATCAATCATCACTTCCTCAATCGAAACCAACAATCCATCATCGATCTCACTACCCATACCACTTCCACACCAATCATACAGACCAATCAAAAACCTAACCATGAATTTCGAGTTTCATATAACGAACCTCAGGGACTCCCGGAACCCAAAATTCAGAATTCCTGTACGGATATTAGTATTTGTATATTTTCAGGATTGAAGAAAATTATACTTACGTTCCAATGTTGGGAACACCACGATTTATAAATTCCTCTTCCATCCAAGGTACTACATAATAGTCATATCTATCCAGATCATATACTGTAGGGTTATCATATTGGATCCCAATAGGTTTTGGCCCCCCATCTTTTAGCCATGTCAACCCCCCATCTTGAAGCCATTCTCCCCAAAGGTTGTACCAATCGTCTGGACCATCTTCATTTACACGGTTGGTAAATGCAGCATGCCCCAACAAACTATCGAAGCTGAAATGTGCATCTGTATCTATATCTAAGCCTCGACGTTTCGAGTCATCGATGAAGGGTGTAAATCGAAAATCTCTGGGGCCTTGTTTGGAGATGTAGTCGGAAAAAGAATCCAGGTAAACCTTTGCCGCACGCTTTGAAAATTTTGCGCCCTGACAGCTTTCAGAGAAGAAATTCATTCCTACAAGTTTATCAGGATCTTGAACGAGACCTCTCGAATACTCATAACTGAAATGCTCGTGAGAAATTTGATTTTTATAATCTTCATTATCTTTGTGCGGCTTTGGGTCAACATTGTTGAGCTTACCTACATTGAAGGCAATTGCGGATATTTCTTCGGGGAACTGATTCCAAGAACACTCGGATTCGATAAAGTTGAAACGACCCATTGGACATACAAGATAATTTCTATGACAGTAAATCCGAGGCTCAAGTATTGAGTGACTTTCCGAGGGGATTTTGGACATTCCAAAGTGACAACCAAAGCCGAGTTTATAATATTTCAGACCAATGTACCGTGAGAGGCAGCTGATGTGTAAAATCGGAGGGACGATTTGTGTTGTTATGAATTTGAATGGATTCCATCGAACTCGAGTGGAATAATCTTGAGGGCCGTAGATTATTCGCTTTTTCTCATTCTCCCATAATGTTTTAGGTCCTTCACTCCAAGTCCAGATGTCAAGGTTTCTTGGATTGTCATTGGCGACGATTTCCCAGATTTTAATCCAAATTTCTATTGGCAACTTATTCCCATGATCAGATGTCTCATGTGCCGTCTTATCGGTTGTAAGTTGATTGGGTTCCTTCTTGTTGTCGTAAGGTGCAGTCGGCATGTTGGAGATTGTTTTTGACAAAGTTACCAAGGTTTTTACGGCATCGATTTCTTTCTCCTGATAAGTCTGGTCTGCTTCCGTGGGGGTTTCTGTTTCTTTTTCCTCTCCCTTTCCCTTTCCTCTTCTTCTTCCTCTTCCTCTTCCTTTCCCTTTTCCTTTTCGGTATTCTTCCCAATTCAGTGATGAAATGTCCGAGTCTTTGGTCTGATCAGTATTGGAGGTATGATCAAGAATCAAGGTCAGAGCACCTGGTGTGGATTAATTCACTTGACAGAATACAGCACCTGGACCGTACTCACATCTCACATACTCACATCTCACATACTGATATATTGCTCTGCCTCAAACCACATTGAATTACTTTTCTTTAATTTGTATTCATTAATCATTAATTATTACCTACCTAGGTATACATAGTCATAAGAACCATACTACTTTTTGGAGCATTCTTGGTAAAGATATACCAGCTAACTATGAGTGGTCAAACACGTGAGTAAAGTCTTGCTCCACAATATATCCCCAAATATATCCTCAATATGCCTAGGCGGTCCAAGGGAAAAGTTCGGCAGGACATCGTCAAACTGTCAAGGTTCCCGACCCGAACCAAGTGTTGAGATCTCAGGTTAGGTAGGGTGAGAGATGATTAGAGTGAAAGATGGTTACCCCGATCTTAGCAAGACCAGGGAATATTTCCTCAATCATGATGGGAATAGATCTGATAACAATCTCCTCATTGCGGGGATCGGGGATCAAAGATGGTCAATATTTGTTCCCCACAAACAAATTCAAGTATCTTTGAGAATCAATTCTTCAAACTTCAACCTTCAACCACAACCTTCAACCACAACCACAACCTTCAACCGCAACATTCAACCACAACCACAACCTTCAACCCCAAACCTCAACCATTGACTTTTGCCAGCAACTATATCTCTTTCTTTCCTCACTTCCAATCATCACTTTTACGCTCTTTTATCAAGATCCTGGTTTTCATCTACCAATCTTGGCGCTCATTTCAATCCTTCTACTCACTCTTACACTCCAACGAATTTGCGCCTTTCATTTTCTTCTCAAATTACATCCAATTCTTGGCTCTAGGTTCTTTCTCAAGGTCGCGCATCTTCAAATTTGGTCAAGATGATTGACGAATCGAATTCAATCGAACAAAATTATGTCACTCAGCCTTGTTTCCCCTTCGATTTAATTTGTCGTCCTGCTCTTCACCATACTCACCATGAATTGAAAGCTCAAAATCGCATTACCCCATCCGCTCATCACTTCCAACCTTCTCAACTTCGTCTTTCTTCTCCATTCGACCTTTCTCTCATTTCACGCCATCCTCAAAAATTGGGCTTACGTCGAATGAAAAAGAGCCACAATCTTGCTGGTCTTGCAAGAGCAGAAATCAAGTCTTACCGTGAGATTGCCATGAAAAATGATACCGATCCCGATTTTCCGAAATTCGCAGAGTTTCCAAAAGAAATTCGTCTCAAAATTTGGGAAGAATATGCCAATAATTTAACACCAAGAGATGTACCTGTTTGGCGTCTTAGGAATCCATTTGTTCATTCGTCCACCAGTTGTTACATCAATATCTATGATCATATCAGCAAAAGTCTTCAATTGATTCCTCTCAGTAGTGGATCGGTACGTCATTATGATTTCAAATGGGTTTGCCCACAACCAGATATTCTCTACATTAACTCTGAAGCACGTAAAGTTGGGTTGAGTATCTACACCCAAGAGAGTTTGAATGGTACCTTTTGCTCCAAGATGAATTGGGAACTGGGTTCGGAAACTGGTCCAGCAACTATCTATCGTCATATCAACGGAATGGATCGTATCATGCCAATGTATGATTTTTCCAATGGACACGAAACCTTTTGGATCGAACATGAACATCAACTCGAAGGAAGGATTGCGCTCAATGCTTTTCTCTATGATTTAGATCCTAATCAACCAGTTCTTTCCAGTGATACTATGTTGATGTTGATGAAGAGTTCTTCAACAGCTCGGGAAAGACGTGAACTTTATGTTAAGGAAGTCGCAAAAGCTTGGTCAGCAGTTATACCATCAACAGCTATATCACCTCCTACTAGGACACTTGGTCATTTCCATCCGTTCAATATTAAGGAGATTACAATTTACTATCGCACTGAAAGTCTCATTGGAGTTAAAGGTAAGTTCTCTCCTTCATTCGATTTCAGTCGCACATTGCTAATTTCACCCAGAATTCAAATGGACCAACATCTCCGAAAACCATCTCCACGACTACGAAGGATACCAAGAAATGCTCAACATGAAGCGCGCCATCAAAACCGCATATCAATACTGGGAGTTACAACGTTATCGCACTTGGGTACATTACACTGGTCATATGGATCCTCAAACCACAGCTGAATTGTTGGAGGATCTCAATACGCCAGAGTTTAAGAAACAAGTTGGAAAGATGAGTTGTTTGTTGTTGTCAATGACGAGAGATAATCCGGGATTGCAGGAAAAGTATAAGTCGAGAATGGAATATAAGATGGCGAATCCGAGGAGAAGTTGGAATGAGAGAATGGAGAAGATGTGGGAGGAGAGGGTACCGGTTTTGCCTAGGATTCAGTTTGCGGTTTGTAGGAGGAAGGAGGGGGGGTTGAAGGGAGTGGTTAGACCGCCGGGGTTTAAGTTGTAGGGTGAGATGGGATGGGATGGGATAGGATGGGAAGGCATAGAATAGAGGTGGAGGTGGGTGGGGGTGCGGGTGGTGATGCGGGAATGAAGATGCGTACTGAGAGCGGGAGATGAGTATTCAAGAAAGGTAGGAATGATATGTAAATTGGGAAAAGGGGAATGAAATGGGGCTTTGGATGTGCTGGTTAAAAGTACTTCTTCTGGATTGAAAACATGCGCATCGAGGGTTGGAGAATGGGTGATGTTTCAAAGGGTTGGATGATACGATGGGAGAATCGATATGACAAAAGCTCGAGATGACAAAAAGGATACGATATACGAAAATCGCACACGCTACTGTAATTACACAGAATAAAAAGAATGATAAAAGGGGTTCTTGTTTTCTTCATTTTCATTTCATTTCATTTCCTTCTCTTTGTAAATTAGGAATTATCGTCTATTTTAGTAGATTGATAATTTTAGTGTTATTTCTTGAGATTAGATTTCATTGGGTGATGTATTTGAAGTGTGAGAGGTGAGAGGATAGATTAGAGAAAAAATCGGAATAGAATGGAATAGAATGGAATAGAATGGAATAGAATGGAATAGAATGGAATAGAATGGAATAGAATGGAATAGAATGGAATAGAATGGAATGAGAATGAGAGAGAACGAATGAATGAATGAATGTTTATGTTTATATATATCTATGATTAACGATATATCTAGATCGGTAGGTAGCTCGATAGTTAAGTACCTAGTAGGCAAACAGGTAAATACAAAGAAATCTAACTAGTTCCCCATTTCAAATAAAATAAGCATACACCTACCTACCTCCCACCTACCTCTATATCACCACTTCACAAAACTCATCTCCAACAATCTAATAACCAACATCAATCGATATACTCATCTCATTCTCAACATTAACAAACTAACTACTCGAATAGAATAATAGGAAGTATAGAATGTCATCTTTAACCTAGGTAGGTATGAATATTTCTTTTCGTTTTTTTTTTAGTTTTTAAGAGAATTATAGGTTTCTTTATGATTATCGGATGGATGTTAAATTGATTTAATTTATTTCATTCTAGGATTGTTATATCATATCAAATAACCTTCATCACATCAAAACCCCAACCCCCAAGTACCTCAATCCGAAACCTAGTCTTACAGCTACTCAGTAAGTCAGACCAAACTGGTGAACCAAGCTAGAAAATCCCAGCTGACTAATCATAATTAAGCGAGATACCTCATCTTTTAATTTTCGGGTGGGACCTCTGATGTGGTAGGGCGATTTGATGACATTTGGAGGCTCGGGACTTGGGTAGGTATCTTGAGATGAGAATTTCATGGGTATTTTTTGAGGGGAGGGGATGTGTAGAGATTTTGAGATTTTGAGATTTTTGGGTTTGGGGTGATACTCGCTTGGGTTCGGATGATAGATACCCAAGGTTCTTCTGAAGACTGTTAGTCAATATTTTAATTTTGACAACGTGGTGTTAATTGCATCGCGCACGTTTGATTTCTCGATTCTGGGAGATCAGTATCGAGCTGATGATTCTCATTCTTATTAGCCTTTTCATTGTGTAGACAGCATCCGAGAATTGCTTTGCTTTGCTTTGCTTTGCTTCATCACCGCTATAACTCCCCTGGTATTCTCTTCTCCGTGAAATTTGTGGTTTTAACTATCCATTTCGCTTTCTTCCTCAATCTGCATGGGCTGTGGTTTTAAGTTCTGGTTTTGTTGAATAGCTGTTCGAGTGTGAGTGGAGCTGAAAGTGGAAGAGTTCTGAGAAATTTCCTGTGTCCACTTACGTAGCCTACAGTGATGAGAAACTTTGCCATCCCTGTGTATAATGGTTTACCGCACATGACTTCGGTCTTTCCACTTATTTCTTAAAGACCAGAATCTATTCAAATCAATTTATCCACCGTCGTGAATTGTTTCCGTGGTCGAAGGACACAAAGACAGGAACGGACCGAGACCCGAAAACCTAGACGGTACGCAATGGAGTGTTTCTTGCAATCCAGAATATCGAGAGCTGGGCCTTATCAGAGATTTTGTAGGAACTGGGTAGAAGAAACAAAGGAGAATAGTGAAGATAAATAGTATTTGCGCAGTCGCAGATTCTCATTATAATTCCGCAAACGGAAGAGTCGAGTGGAATACCGGTACATGTTAGCGGCAATCCTCCATCCGACCTGGATGCACATTTCTCACCAAAGCTATATTCCGTGGAGTTTATACCCACCTCCGAGATGTTTCACATATTTCTTCTTACGCATGCTGATTGTCGATGGTAACTTCCTTCGTTTACATGCCGGTACCCTCGCAGACCGGCAAACGTTCTACACAGATGTGCTGAGGTCATGACCATTGGCACCCACCAAGGTTCGTTTTTCACAGCTGTTTATTCACAGGTCATAAGTCTCACGCCAATAACGATGAGGGAGTGTTTTATTTCTGGAAGTAGTAGATCCATATTAATAAACATCAGGAATTCGAAGGTTACATCCATCCGCACACTCCACCGCTCTGTCTCTGTTCCTCACGTTGATATTTATTCTCGGTCGATAAGGGCGAGGAGGTTCCCGGACTTCATAACCCAAATTTTGTTTTGCGCGAGTTGCTGTCTTGTTGTTAGTATAAGTGAAATCATTGACACACGGAGAGGCAATAGTACCGAGTAGAAACAATCGAATTCTGCCGAGGAGACTTGACCGTCATAATGTGCAGCAGCGGTATTTGTCCCATGTTCTCCTCTCTTGTACCTGAAGTACTGGTACAAGTGACAATACCGTCAGGTCTGATCAGGATTCCTGAAGTCGGTGGTATTATAATGACACCTCTGCCACGTCGATGATTGCGGTGCTCTGACTCTGCCTTCTCTCATGGACTCGCATCGTTTCCGCCAGAACTGTAAATCATAATAATTAGTATTACAGATCGGCAGATCATAGATCAGGAACTCATTTCACTCACGGCCACGTTATGAATCAATCAGGTCTTGAGAAATAATTGTTTTGGGAGCGAAATCGAATGAGGAGGTCGTGGAAGAGGGTGATGCGGCACAAGCTTCTTGCATTCACCTCAAGGGAAGAAGCGGACCTTTTCTCTTTGGTTCATGAATTCCGAAAGCTTGACCTTTTAACCCGAAATAATTAGTTCCGTCGTTGTCAGTAAATTTTGGGGATAATGATAAACTCACCGAGCAAGAATTGGTAGGTCATTGCAATTAAGGAATATGCATTCACCTCCGGAAAGAGTGTAGTATCGATCTTCAACTTGTCTTTGGACAAAACCATGTGACCATTGGCCAGCTGGCTAACAATACTGACAAGCTTCATGCCAGGAGCAAAGGTTCAAAACCTGGGACAGCGGTCGTGAAGTTATCGACTTTGCATTCGCTCCATATTGGAGATACTCGCAGGTATCTTTTAAAGTTTTCGACTCTGCGCAGTGCATTCGCTCCATACTGGAGATACTCGCAAGTATTCTTTAGTATTGTATGCACCATTTCTATGAAATTCATTAGAAAAGGACATTGAAACCGCGCTCCACTTGATGGTATTGCATACATTCTTGGCTTTCAGGATGCTGAGAGTCTTGACGGAAAGGTCGTTTCATAGCGGGCAGAACCGTTAACTGGATTGGACTTTGAGCGGCGATCTATGCAATTGATTAGCTTTTGTTCTGAACTGAGTATTTCAAACCGAAATGCGATGTGAGTTGAAATCATGACCTGCCGGAAAGTTTCGAAACTGGCATGAAGAAAAGGAGAGGACTTACTTCACAATTTTCGTGGGCCAATTTGATTCGACCTTGCCACATCCTATGTAATGCCATGTTGGGTTTCAAATACTGGGACTGGCAGAACAAAGCCATGAGATGCTTCCAAAGTAATCAGTTCGTTGCTCATAGTAAATGCTGGATAAAAGTATAGAGGAATTACCTGTCTTTGTTTCTGTTCATCAATTGAATTGTTGTAAAAGGTTGAGAAGAAACAAGAAGAGTCTCAAATTTAACAAATATAAGTTTTGTGGGAAAATCCAAAAGAAAATTCGAAATGAATATAAGTTGGGCATTATCCGGATAAGTACTACATTGACTACCTTGTTTTTCCGGCCAAAGTCCTTCAAGAATGTCAATGTTTGGAACAAACGAAATATCATGACCTTCAAACTTAGCCTCGTCGCGTTTATCATTCAATGTTCCTTTATCCAACATCCTCTCTATACTTACATACCTTCGATTGTCCACCCAGAAGTCAACATTCAACCTTTTGATTCTTTAAATCACTCACCGGATAAAGAGACCGGTCATTACCATGAAGTTGGGTTGCTTTGGAAGAAGGTGATGGATAATACGAATGGGTTAATACAAAGTCCCTCGTTTTTCCCCTGACAAGGCTGGTTCTTTGTTGCGAACAAGAAAGAAAAGGAGCGAGTCCCCTAATTTCAGTTGAGGTGGAAGCAATTGAGACCGTGTAGATAGATCCATTGATTGAAAGAATGAATGCAATGTTCCTCAGCCGCCTTTGCGCGTGTACCTTTGATGCGCAAGAAACTCTCGCATTTTTTGAAAGCCAGTAAGTTCTTTATCGCTTCTATGTATCTTCCATACTTATGATGATATGCTAACAAAAATCAAGAGAAAGGTATATGTGCCACCGGGCTGTTGAGGGATCGTGGGTGGTACGTGGGGGGAACATAGAAGCTACACGACTTTGTTTAACTTTCTTATCCGTAGGGACGAACAAACACCCAAGCCAACCTATATTAAACACATAGGTATGAACAATAGCTGCGACTGGTACTGCCAGTCCTTGTGCGAATCTTCCGATCTAGGCCCAGAAGGCTTTACTCCGCTAACCATGGTTCGCCCTTGAGGGGCAAAAAAATGGACGAGGAGGTCTGGATGAAAAATATCAAATGGAGAGGGTTCAGCCAACGATAACCAATATTTAAAATACCGCTGTATTTTCGCCACTCCCATATGGAACCACCCGCAACCAAATTATTGGCAGTCATTTGAGTGGATTCAGAGGATCTGGCCGGGATTCGTTCTGGAACTTTCAAACCCTATGGTCGTCGAAGCAGAACTTCTACTCGGGCCCAATACATCCAATATCGATGAAGCGGAAGGAAAAATACAAGCAAGTGAAGGATAGGGCGATGGCTGTTGTAAGGGAGAGAATCGATGATGCCGGTATGATTCTTTTTTGTCTCTTTATCTCGTATTACCTTTTATTTTATTTTAACTAGAAACTGTTGCGAGAATCATTGAAAAATAAGAGAGACTTACTAACGATTAATATGAGATAGGAACCCAGACAAAAGGCAGTCAGGAAAGATAGACATACGGAGAACCGACGCTCACCTTAATCAAAAGATGTTCTACCTCCTCTCGAACTCAATGGTACATTTCCAATCCGAAGAGGGTTGCAATACAAGTGTATATCGGTTTAAATCTTCTCTGAAAGCACGCTCAAGCTATGAGTTACTGCTTTGGGGATCTCAGAGGTTATGCAAGAACCTATTTGCAGACTCTTCCCATGTGCCGTTAATTCTTTCCCTTTTCCATTGTGGCGACTGGATATCATGGTCACGAAGATGGCGTGGAGTTTTATCGCACCATTCTCTCCGGATAATCACAGAGATAAATAAATTTTTGGCGACAGGAAACCATTGGTGTCTTCGGATACCCGTACTTGCCGTCTTCGAGTTCAAACCCATAGAGAAATACGGCTTCAGATGATATTCTGCCGCAACAAAGAAAATCATGACAAGATCAAGCTTGCCCTTGAAGGAAAAGCATTTAGGGATGGATTGTCTGGTGGCTTCGTCCGAAAGACCATTTGAAGGGTGTGCTTCAAGACTCTATGAAGGATGGCCAACATGCAAGAATTCGCTTTGGCACGACCGAGGCAAAATCATTAGTGTCTCCCAAGATTGATTCTCCATCAAAATCCGAGCTACTTAAATGCCATCGTTTTTATTCTTATTCTTTATTACTTGTGATGAAATTGTGGTGAAAGATGTTGAAAACAGAGAAGGAAAGTACAAGGTCAGTGAGGAAGGCGCGATCGCGATCGAGCAGGCTTTGTGGGACTATCTACGAACTTTTCAACAAATTTTCTTGAGAGGACAAGAACCCCTCGGATTGGCGCTTCTTCTTTGTATCAAATAAGGAAAATGTGCTTGATTCTATCCTTCTGTGTGCCTTTTTTATACTTCAAAGGCGTCCGTGAAACAGCTCAGAAATTACCAACTTACCACAAACTTACCACTAGTGTGGATTGTCTCAACCCCGAAGTCTTTTCGATGTTAGATCGAAACTTACTAACTCACAAATTACAAAATGATTGGCATTCCTCTAACATCCGACCTGTGTATTCATAGGTAATCCCTTTACGCCATGTGCATATCCGACCGTATATGCGGAAGTATAGTCGCACTGCATGTCGAGGATGTACCTCGAGGCTGTTGAGAAATTATTTCCTTTATTACTTCGACTTCTTCTTCTTCAAGTGATTTCTTTGTTTCAATCAGTATACCATGGCGGATATCGAGTTGAAGAAAATGGCATCATGCGATAATTCCGATCAAGAAAGGAAAGACTTATTGGAAGTGGAAAACACACCTCGTACCTTGATGGCAGGCGTAGTCGATAAAAGTACGGGATCTTCACTACCCCTCGCCTCACCTCTGATTTCTTCCGAATATGATGTTCCGAATATTCATACCGAGGACAAAGGGAAATCGCCATGTTTCCAAAAGGCCCAAACAGTCATAGATGAAGATGAGAGTTTAGAAATCAAGTCAACAGGAAATTATGAAGAAAAATTTCACATGGATCGTGAGCAGTCTGGTATATACGAAAACTCTTTGAGAACAGGAAAGTCCTCGAGTCATTCTTCGAGATTTTTTTTATTACAAATGTTAACATTTTATCCTGACAGATGAGCGAATTGATTCTGATATACTGCCTCAAAACAACACCACGACGGCGCAATCTTACGGTCTGGCTACAGATACACTCGAAGCGGCATCACAAGGTCAAGATGAAACCTCAGTCACAGTACCTATTGCGAAGTTACCGCAATTGGTAAAATACGGCATACAAGTCTTACAGGAAAGCCGAAAAAAAATCAAAAGCGCTCAAATAGACCCAGAGAGAAATAGCACGGAAGTAGTACATGATAACTCTCAACTTTCAAATATGGCCGTTGAAACAGTTTTCGTGGCGATGATGAAGAGGAATATGGTACGTTTAAACATGAGTTCTTGAAATTTGAGCTATTAAGTAGAGATAAGAAGAAGGAAAAACATACAAACCAAACGGGAAAAGAAAGACTTTGATTTTGGAACGCCACGAGTAAAGAAATTGTTCATCAACAGTAGCATACAAATCATCCAATTCCTCTCCATACAATTCCTCGGTGGAAAAGACCCAGTCCGATAAATACTATGACATTTTGGTAGAGGGAGAGAGCGATAGGTTGATGACCGGGTGGTGGTGGGATGAGGAAAGTGTCGTATTGTGATATGGTACCATGGGTCAATATGATGGGTTTTTGGGTACCGGTTGAATCGGAGTTATGGAGGACAACGAAAGGTTCATATCTTGCTTGATCGAAGGTTTTGGTGTATGGGTATGATGGTACGGAATTATCCGAAAGTAATTCCTGGAGATTTTGTATTTTTGATGTACGCGTTTGTCGTTTCGAGAGAAGATTTTGAGTTGTAGATGGTAATGTTTCCGGGACTAAAAGGATTCTGCACCCCAAAGACTCAAGTAGTGCGATATGACCTTCTAGACTGTTTCGAGGCGAACTAAAAAACATCTATGAATTATGTTAGAATTCGAATTAATTAACCGAAGGAAGGGTATAGCCAGTCTTGATAGCAGCGAATAGTAATGTAATGAATGTATCGCCAGTCTTGAGGTCCAACATAGTTGAGTGTTTCAATTGTTTCACTGCGACCTAGCTTTTTTTCCATCCACCAAGAACATTTATCGATAGAACGGGCAAAGTCTTGGTTTCTATGTGATATCTTGAAATCCATCTTGGATGTCTTTTGATAATGGAATCGATGCAAAAACACGAGTGCGATCACTTAAAGCTAGGCCATCAATCACGTGAGGAGGTAGTCTTTTCCACGGTCGCTTGAAGCAATAAGATCTTGTGTCATGTTGAGATTCGAATAATCATTGATTCAGTCTTGTAGGATTATCTAGGACGGGACTGATTGAAATATATGTAAAATGAACAATTCCATGATAGCACTTGGAGTCCAAGAGTTTGTGTGACAACGGAAGTCTTTCTTGACCATTTGACCGATCATTTAACATGAAGTATCCAATCGAGGAACATTGTTTCCTGCGTCTGCTTGCGCGGGAGATTTTCTGACTGCGCATACTGGTGTACCTGGGTAGATATGCAGGTCTGCGGCAGTCATCATCTATGCACTAGCACTTGACAATTGCCAATACCAAACCGAGGTATACTAAAGAAACAACTGATTGCTTTACAGTTGCTACCTTGACACTACTAATCATAATGAACGAAGTACATGACGACGGAATGTTCTTATTCAAGGAGGCTGTGAGAGTGAAATCTTTGGAAAACTACCGAGGTACATAACAACTAAGTTGCCCGAATATGAATATTTTTGAACCAGAGATGGAAGACCGAAGACCTAGTCGTCAATCTGAATCACTAATCAAAGGCTTTTCTATCAACTTCTTTCGCTTACGTGAAATGCTGTTCGTCTAGGAGGTTCGAGAGGGGATCTAGTAGAACGGAAAAGCCGGGACACTGATAACACTCCAACGGAATTATATACATGCTAGGAACACATTTTTTTGAGTGAACCTAGATAACGGTAGGCTGAATTCCGATATTGAAGATTCCATTATGGTGTTTTTTGGTCCAAAATATTGATCATTTGATTTGATGATGAATTTTGAAAGGAGTGAATATATTATTCTTCGATCTTTCGTACTGCCAGAGTGAGGTCGGTCCAATTC